TCCTACCGTGAGACCGACATCCTGTTCAACCGCAAGGTTCCTGCGAGGAAGTTCAAGACGACTGTTATTGATGTTCGGGAGAATGAGTAGGCTGATGCGAACATGTCAGTCACTTGCTTTTAGGATTTTGAAAAGTTTTAGACTATTAGAGGGATGTGACCACGCGGCGTATATTGCATAACTAGGTAGTGTTTCTGTGTAAACAATAGTTTGAACTATCTTCCCACATCTACTTGTTTTAAGTAGTTTGAGTAATTCATGCGCAAATCCAACAGTCGAGAACTTAATTCATCTATCAACTCCGGAAAAACATCATGACAGCACACTGGCCGGTGGAAATTTCCCTCGCACATACAATCGCACTCTACGACAGACCTAAGCTTCTACCCGAGCAGGAAGGAAGTCTAATGATCGCTGCTCTTCGTAAAGGCTACTTCAATCCTGTCCAGATTACATATTTACATATACTAGGAGCCCTGGATTCCTCGCGCCCAAAAGTCTTCCCAATGACGAGGACGACGCCTACGAACTCCGCCAGCGCTGAGGATTACCCGGCCAATGGGCATCTGCAACATAGGAATTCCGCGGCGTATAAGATCCCATACCCTGCCCTGCAACACCGTTAACTACTTCAGTTTCTCCACTCGCGCGCCAAATCGGCTACCTGGTACCGAGAAAGGATCTACCCAGACGAAGGGCTCCAGTATCCCGCAGAAGCATTGGAGCGGATGTATACGCCCAGCTACCTTGGCCATAACGGGATTCAATATGCCTCTCACCGGCTGATGCGACTCATCCGGTGGACCAGGCTACTTTCATGTCTCCTCGGTGGAGCACCACTATCTGTCTTCGGCCAGCCGCTTTGAGGCAACTTAAACAGTGTGAACGTCTCCACTTCATGACCTGGGTTCTCTACTGTCTAGCCAGGACCAGTTAGCAAGATGGGACAGGGTGCTTATGAGACAATTAAGGTAGGAGATCAGAGTTCCATCATCCTTGCAAAGCTGATTAGACTAATGTATCGGCGAGCAGCACGTCGGGACAGAAGCCCTTGAGCCCTGGGCCTTGTCGATTGGTTCAAGCAGGTAGTCTTCCACTGCTACAGCGTCCGCTCTAGTGATTCTTGAAGGCACTGGAAGGGAGGGCCGTGGCATGTACTTCATGCTTCGCCTAAAAGAGCCCACATCAGAAGGATATAGTATAGCTAGAGGTGGATTTGCCCGCTGTCTGACATCAACCTGCGTTGCCGTCCACCTATCGAGTTAGAGTCGCCTTTCAGGCATCCAGCTGCTTACTGCCCAACATACTGCATGAGTCTAAAGCTGCGATATACGTACTTGGCGTGTCCTTCCTCTGTATGATATGGGTGGCTGGCTGATTGTTTGCGCCCTGTCAATCATGATAGGCGTTCATCTAGAGACTCGATCTCGTTCCGCGGGATGTTTAGGGATGTAAGCTTATCAGAAAAGCTATCAGGGCCAGCAGTGGAACTGATATCTGAGCCCTCCGGAAAACCAAGATAGATCAGCATCGCCTAGAACAATGCAGAGTTACAGCCCCTCCGCAGCTGAACGAGCGCAAATAGTCTCGGGAAAAGATTCCTCGTCGTGGAATAGGTTTTTAAACCCACCTGTCTTCGTATTTTTACCTCCCACCGCTCAGCTCAATCTCATCTTCAGATCTCTGGACCGAGGTTACATCCTGGTCCAAAATGAACAACATCAAACTGATTGCGTGTGGTTACCACCAAACATATACCATCAATAATGTCGAGTGGGATAACCAACTCCAGATTTCGAGGCGCATGGTTAACAAGTTGGAAGTCCACGTTTGGGGAATTCAGCCGGGATGAGAGCTATGATGAGGATTGGACTATTGCGTCGATCTTGGTCAGAGGTGACGAGGGGTATTCTAGAAGCAGTATCCAGGGAGAAACCAAGGTGCAATACATGTTTCCTGGTGTACGAAACTGAAAGCGGGTTGATGTTTTTTTTAAGAAACAATGGTTTTAATAAGTTATCTCCTGACCGTGAATGAACCAGTAAAATGCGGCAAGCGCTCTTTGCCTTTTGGCTTGCGCGAGCTTACGAACTAGCCATCTGGTGATCCGTACCAAAGCGGTGGTTGCAATGTTGAGAAGCGATCGCTACCACTACCAAGCCAAGTCATCTAGTTTGCAGGACGTAAACCTGCTGTGGAAGGGATCCTCTTGAGTGATTGCGCAGGCAAGCATCCATGTATTGACAACAAGCAAGTGCTCTGTAGCTCGCCAATGGCAGTAGAGGCAGTCAAGATGATCCTCAGGCCGGGACTCCTGGGTCAGTTCAGGGCAACTAAAATACTTATAGCGTAGAGGAGTAGTCATTGTCATACAGAAGCTACGGAGGGTCAGGAAACGCTCGGAAAGTACATAGGGTGTTGAATAGGAAAGTGCCTAAAACTATCAGTAGAATGGTTCGAAAAAAAGTCCGGCAATGCATTCACACTAGTTGCAAGAATAGCCACACCCTGGTCAAGCGGAGATCTTCCAACAGGGACAGACCAGTGGCAGGCGACGTTCTGCAGCGTGAGCCTTTGGGTCCATTCCTAGCCTATCTTTGGAACCGTCAGCAACACCGAGGACATCGTTTGGTGAGCGAGAGACAATGCTATAAACCAAGAGCTATCGGCTTGTCTTCCTCCCTTGGTGGCTATTCCATATCAACAAGATCATCAAAACAGGGGAAAGGCGAGCCATAATCATACCATTCCCTTGATACAATAGAGATTCAGTCGAATGGCCAACAACGCTCGTACTCAGCCTTTTCCTCGTCAGTTTCAGCCAATTGCTCCAATATTAGGCCTTTGACTTCGTGGAGGGCAGCTTTGCACTCATCATATCGCTCCCGCTCGATGAAGCCTTTGTCCGGCCATAAATCGCCCATTCTCTCCTTGACCTCCGCAACAAGCTCGGTTCCTGCCACTGCACCATCGCTATCCAGTTTAATACGCTCCAAATCTGCTTCTGAAAAGGCGAACGGGAATGGGGTGTCGCTGGTAATGGCAGGTAAGTCCGTCCACGTGTCTTTCAGGTCAGCCAGAAGCGATTGGAAGTGCGCCTCGCCGTATTCGAACATTCGGTGGCCAAGGAATATCAGCCCGTAAGCTGCCGTCCTTCGGAATTCAACTACTTTGTATAGGTCTGGATTTTTGGCATGCATGAGTTTCCGCCATCCAATGAACACGTTTTGGATAGTATACTCATGTACAGCCGCGGACTGTTCTTCAGGCGAAAGTCCGGACAGATTCGGCCGTGGTGCCAGATCAAGCGTCTCAGGCTCAAGGCCATCCCAATCAAGGAAGGCTGGATCGGGATTATGGTTAAAGAGGGGCGAGATGTGACAAGACTGCCAGTCAATAATACCCATGATCCTTTCAGGATTATGCGGATCTACGAAGACGTTGTCATCGTGCAAATCATTATGCCAGAGGCAGGGTCTGGTAATGGCTGTATCCTTTGGGACAAGGGCATCGACGACTTGTCGGTACCATGCTAGAGCAGTAAGTTTCTTTTCCCTATCTGGTCGGTAAAGCTTCGGGCCACAGAACAAGACAGTCGATTTCGGAGGTTCTAGAGACTGGATTGCCTTCACCTCTCGCGTCCCGACTGCTTGCAGATACTGCGTTAGAGAAGCCCCTGTAAAATTATTAGCAACTGTACAAGAACGGCACGAACCACAACGTACATGGCCCTTTCTCGACGTCCAAACTTGATCGGCCTGCGTCACACCAATCCCGGCCTGTAGCCGGACCAATGGTAAATTCTGAATCTCTCACAGCTTTGCCATCCTTGACAAAGTGGTTACCTTGTAATGGCTGCACATCGTCCGTGTAATACAAGCTGCCGTAATGCGAGAATGAGACGCTCAGCCATTGTTTCTGGAGGCGTGTCATAGCAAGAAGAACTTGAAGCTTCTGCGGTAATTTCATTGTGCCCCAAACTTGGGACAGAGGAACACCTTCAGCTTTATCCATAATAATAAATTCAGCCCCGACAGGGTGCGATTTGGCTTGCGAGTTCCATGTGTGTACACGAGGCGCTGGTGTGTTAAGAATTTTCCTGGCCTCCCAAATCAGACGTGTTAGCAAAAGTTGATGATGATGGTGTTCAAGATGAACTTACGAAGTCCATCGTGGCAACTTCACTGGCAGTAGTAAAGTGTGGAACGCCAGCATTCGGGTTGGGAACCTTGGCTACAACTTCTCGGCCATCATCCATCGACATGAGGAACGCTTTGTTGAACATGCCGTCAGGGTACTTCTCGATAGCGATGCATCGAGCAGCTCCGACCGAGTCTGCTGCGACTCTTGCGAGGCAATTCATGTCAAATCTAATATCTCGCTTCCGAAGGTTCTCTACCTCATCGACAATAAAGCGGCCACGCGTGAATTTGAAGAATTCATCGTTAGAGTTCCAGTCTGACGGGAATGAGTAATGTGCTGAATCGCGCTCCTATGGGCGTGCATACCTGTCTGAGAAGAGCCCATGTTCATGATCTGGGGACGGTGATGGTAGGATAAAGGTGAAGCTTGGTGGATTGAGCGGCAGTGTCGTTTCAGGCTTGGTAGTTTACTCTGAATGTAACACCAAGTACGCGCGGATGGGGATCGGCGCATTTTTCACGAGATGCAAGTCCCTGGAATATCAGGTAGCACTTGATCCGCGAGCATTGGGGTGTTGGAAACATTAAGGGTAAGAATAAAACCAATTCAGAGGATGCTTTCTGCTGCGGAAACCGAGAGATGATGATGCTGGTGTTGTGGAGGGAAGTAGGAAGTAATTAGGACGTGTACTGGTTGGAGCTAAAGCGGCACTGCTCTAGACTGAATCCAGAAATTGAAAGTCAACGATGCCTCAGGAATCAGCACCGCCGGTGATGCTACAAAAATTCCATCTTTCTTGAGCTGTAGACACGTCATATATGAATCCACTACGGCCACATTAATTATTCACTGCAGAGATGCCCAATAGCTCTGCTGCTGGTTCCAATGTTGACCGCCAAGAGATCGACCGGATCTTACGGGCCAAGCGGCAGCAGCGCGAAACAAAGGCGTGCTATCCGTGTCGCTCGCGCAAAGTCAAGTGCGACAATGGCCATCCATGCAGAACCTGCCAGAAGCGAGGTCATCCCGAGATCTGTGTCTATGACCTTGAGGAACCTTCTCCGCGGAAGCGGACCATGTTAAGTCCTCGGAATGGCAACGCTGATGCCTCTCACGCTGCGTTCACGCAGAGGAGTCCAAATGATCGGCCTCGACTCGGGGATTCGGCATCTGCTCTGCATACCAATCCTGCATCACAATCGGTCAACCAAGAGGACTCTGCGAATTACGTCTTTTCTGGAGAGAATACAGTCATTTCCATACTGGGTTCACACGACACTGATGGATCAATTGCCCACAGGGCGAGCTCTGTGTTGGGGCTCCAAAATAGCTTCAGCAATTACCCATTCCTTGATCTCAAAACACCCATAGATCGATGGAAGTCTCTCGTGGATATCCTTCCTCGAAGGGAGGAAATTTTGAAGTAGGCTCAGCGACTAAGTACATGTGGCGGTGCTGATGACTGTAGGTTTTTCCACTTCTACCGTACCTCGGCTCATCCATTCAACCCAATTCTTGTTGATATCGACGGCTTTGAATCGGTAATATGCCAGTTCCTTACATCCTACGCTTCCGGGGAACTGCGCGATTACGACAAGATCTCGGAAAGATGGTCGTCGGATCGATCCGTCGGTCAGATCAGTCTCCTCCTGGCTGCGTTGGCTTCGGGAGCCCATTATTCAGACCTTGAGAACCCCGAAAGGTCGGAAAAATATCAAAGCTTTGGTAGGGATAAGCGCTCTTCTATCATGAAGCATGACTGACGCTGGAACAAGCCCGCCGATCTTTCCAAGCATTAAGGCTGGCAAATTTCCTCTTGAGGCCATCCCTGGAAGTTGTCCAATCTCTCCTCCTCCTGGGAAATACGCTACAGAACAACGGCCAATCTGATGCCGCGTGGGCTTTGCTTGGCACTACTGTTAGATTGGCCCAGACCTTGGGATTACATACCGAGAAGAGCATTTCTCACTGGCCAGAACCAATGAGACCAAAGGCTAGAGCATTGTGGTGAGTAGATATACCGAGATGAAGTCCACAGCTGACCCCTGAAGGTCTATGACGGTTTGGCAAGACAGCCTGTTGAGCCTGTGCTATGACCGCCCCTCCATGGTGTCCACGAGAGGCTGGGAGCTGGACTGGACTACTCTGGAGTCGAACATATCATACACTGACATGATGCGCTACCTATGCCGGTTAGGTCTGCAAATTAACAATACAGAAGAGAGAGATCGCAATAACCTGATATATTGCCACAAGTCATTAGCTGGATTGGACCACGTTTTCAAGCGTGTACAGCCCCACCTCCTTTCCCGAGAACACTGTACGAGCTTGCACCAGCACCAGGAGCATTTGGCCCTCCGCATCCATGTTTCCTTCTGCGTTTCTGTGCTATGTCGGCCAGCAATCCAACGCCCACCCGGAGCCTCTCTTCACCCACGTATTCGAATTCTGCGCGATAGGGCCAAAGAAAGCCTGGTTGAGGCTGCAAAGGCTTTCCTCGACTTTGAAACTCTAAGCATCGTCCCGTTACGCACCTGGTCTATGGTACACACGGTGCTCAGTTCTACCTTACTCTTTTGCCTTTGGGAGGAGACTCGCCATGACCCGGTGTGTCGCGACTTGCAGCAACGAGTCATCGAGGTATTCTCCAGAGTTGGCACTGATGGGAAGGATGGTAATGGCCAAAATGGCAATGGTCAATGGTTGTCAACGAGGCATATTCACGCACTCGTCGCGTTGAGAAATGCTGTGCGTGAGACCCCAATGTGTGAAGCAGATGCAAACCCCGAGAGGCAGCGAGGATCGCCACGAAGCCAACCCGCGCAGCGATTGGAAGACGTCATATCCAGCCCAGGAATGGGATTCGGTGATGTTCAACCATCTGGCGATTTTCCTGCAAACTTTGACTTTAGGTGAGATTCCTCCCTGCACGGTCCACTACAGATTTACTTATCGGATCCAGTTTGCCAGGAAATTTATTCAGCAATGATATCGATGTCTCGCCTATTTCCTACCTAGACTCTATAATGAATGGTACGGACCCTGTTCTATCTTAGTTTCCTTGCTAATTCACCGCAGTACCACTATTCGATTTTTCCGACGGCCAGGCTGGCCCTGCATGAGCCGCAACATCACTACATTTGAAGCTATCATCGATGTTATGTTCTTAATCATGCCCATAGAATACGTCTGAGCGAAAAATATGTTTGATTAGGCAAGCCCCATAGGTACATGAACACGTCAATTATGGCTCCTTCTTCCAGCCCTCCCACCTCTCAAAATCAGCAGTATCAAGATCAAAGAGATCAAGCATCCGTCCAACGCTTTGATCAACTACCTCGTCCATGCTAGAAGCCTTGATGTAAAAGGCCGGCACGGGAGGGGAAATGACCGCCCCACTCTGCGTGACAGAAAGCATATTGCGAAGATGGATATCGCTAAGCGGAGTTTCACGCGCGACGAGGACCAGCCGCCTCCGCTCCTTGAGCATAACATCTGCCGTGCGGGAAATCAAATCGTCACAGAAGCCCGAATTGATTGCGGCCAAGGTCTTCATTGAGCAAGGCACGACTATCATCCCGTCGGTCTTGAACGAGCCACTCGACACCGGTGCCGCCATATCGTTGATGTTGTGCACATGGTCTGCTAATGCGCGGACGTTCCGAGGACTATAATCCGTCTCGTACTTGATTGTGGCCTCGGCCCATTTGCTGATGATCAAATGTGTCTCGACGTTGAGCCGGCGAAGGGCGATGAGTGTTTTGATGCCTAGAATTGCGCCGGTGGCGCCCGTCATTGCGACGACGATTCTTTTACGCCGACCATTCGCTGTTGAGCTGAGGTGCTCATTGTTTGATGTTGATGTTTCCTGTGTGAGGCTTGTATGTGTTGCAGAGTGAGAATCAGAGGTATGATCGGGACTGTAGCGGCCAGAGTTGGGCGTATTGGCGCCGGAGGGTAGCAGTGATGCAAACATTGTGGATTGGGTCAAGGATCGATTCTGAGCAGACTGGAGAATTGAGGAAGAGATATAGAGCCTTCGGTTGCTTGACTTGGTTTTAAGGCGATGCGCTGCCAGTACTGCGGCACTTTACCCGGCCATATGATGCTCTCCTCATGGCAAAACCTGATCTCGGGGGCTCGGATTTGATAATGTCAACGGGGAGGTGTAAATAGGGCTCAAATCCGAGCTTCCGAGCCTCCGAGGCCCCGAGATAACGGATATCGGCATTGGTGAGCCATTATTTTCACTCGGCATCTATGCCAACTTTCGGAAATGCCTTGATGAAATCATGATAGACAAGCTTTTGAGAAGGATGCCTGCCGAGTCTTCGGTCAGCTTCTAGAGGCTATGTCATCGGCAATTGCCGATCATCCGTTCCATGGCGGCACTATATAACTCCCTCACTGGTGATCAATCTCGTCTGTTACCTCACGTCACGTCTCGATTTTAGTCTTTTCTTTCTGAACATTCCTCAAGAACTCAATATCACAATGACTACTGTTAACGATACCAACGTGGATCACTCCTTCCGCGCTTTCGTCGAAGCCCTCAAGGCAGACAACGACTTGGTCGAAGTCAACACAGAGGTCGACCCTCACCTCGAAGCTGCTGCGATTACCCGGCTCGTGTGTGAAACGGACGATAAGGCGCCCTTGTTCAATAACCTAAAGGGAATGGGAAAGAATGGGCTTTTCCGTATCCTTGGTGCCCCCGCTTCCCTTCGTGCCTCCAGCCGCGATCGCTATGGCCGCCTGGCTCGCCATCTCGCCCTCCCACCCATGGCTAGCATGAAGGAAATACTCGACAAAATGCTCTCTGCTAGCGAGTTACCTCCCATTGAGCCCAAGATTGCTGAAACCGGTCCCGTGAAGGAGCACTCCCTGACGGGCGATGAGATTGATCTGACTGCGTTGCCTGTACCGATGATTCACAAATCTGACGGAGGCAAATACCTCCAGACATATGGTATGCACGTCGTGCAGTCCCCTGATGGGACGTGGACGAATTGGTCCATTGCTCGTGCAATGGTCAAGGACAAGAACCATCTTACGGGCTTGGTGATCGAACCGCAACACATCTGGCAGATCCATCAGATGTGGAAGAAAGAGGGAAAGGACGTTCCATGGGCACTCTGCTTTGGTGTCCCGCCAGCAGCGATTATGGCCTCGTCCATGCCTATTCCCGACGGCGTTACCGAAGCGGGTTATGTCGGTGCCATGACCGGTCGTCCTCTTGAACTCGTGAAATGCGATACCAACGACCTATATGTTCCTGCGAACGCGGAAATCGTCTTCGAAGGTACCCTTTCCATCACTGAAACCGCAGACGAGGGCCCGTTTGGCGAAATGCACGGCTATGTTTTCCCCGGCGACAGCCACAAATGCCCTGTCTACACTGTCAACAAGATCACCTACCGGACCAATCCGATCCTCCCCATGTCAGCCTGCGGTCGCCTCACCGACGAGACACACACAATGATTGGTGCCCTGGCCGCAGCCGAAATCCGCAAAGTATGCCAGCTCGCCGGCCTTCCTATCACGGATGCCTTCTCCCCGTTCGAATCACAGGTCACCTGGGTAGCACTCAAGGTCGACACTGCCAAGCTCCGTCAGATGAAGGTCACTGCCAAGGAGTTCCAGAAGAAAGTCGGCGATATTGTCTTCAACCACAAGGCGGGATACACCATTCATCGTCTTGTGCTCGTAGGTGATGATGTCGACGTCTACAATGGAAAGGACGTCATGTGGGCGTTCTCTACGCGTTGTCGCCCTAACGCCGACGAGACCTTCTTTGAGGATGTCCGTGGATTCCCGCTGATTCCTTACATGTCTCATGGTACGGGGTCCCCGACGCGGGGCGGAAAGGTTGTGTCTGATGCTCTTATGCCTGCTGAATATACCTCCGGTGCGGACTGGGAGGCGGCTGATTTTGAGCACTCCTACCCTGAGGATGTCAAGGCCAGGGTCCGAGCTAATTGGGTCAATATGGGCTTTCGCGAGCGTGATTAGCATTTCCTGTAGCACTAGAATGTACCAAGAATATAAGTTCAGTCATACATCAGTACACGTGAATTTCCCTTACTTGTATCCAAAAGAACTGCTGGTTGATGTCAACGGTCAACTATACGGTGCTTGATCCTATGCTGTATCCTGTCATCTCCATTTTTATTTTATGCACTCATTGATCTATGTAGACCTTTCGTCTCAGAGTCTGGCTGCCAATATCATGATCCCCTCCTATACTAGCCTCTGCACCCCAAACCAGTCCCCACGCAATTACATCGCAACCAACGCCTTCTCCATCTCCAGAAAACACAAATTCTCAGGCAACTCCATACCCGCAAACCTCTCAAACGGAAACGGCGTCACCTCCCCGGTGAGCTGATACCCACACCGCAGATACCACAATATCAACTCCTCACGCGTCGAAAGCGCATTCAGCCCTCCCCGTCTAACTCCCCATTCCCTATGAGCATACTCCTCCGCGTAAGCGAGGATCTTCCGCCCGATCCCAAAGCGCTGGTACGCTTCATCGACAGCGAGCAGGAAGAAGCGAGCGAGGTTGTCGTTAGCGGTGCACCTGGAGACTCCGATGCAGGCGATCAGCGCGCCGGTGGGGTCGGTCGCGAGGAGGAATGCGCTGTCCGGCGTGGTGATCTTGGATAGGATCTCCGCAGTGTCGATGCGGAAGGCTGAGGCGAGAGCTGTGTCGCCGGTCCAGTTTGGTCTTGTGTCTGGGGCGCGGAAGGCGGATTGGACTAGGTGTTGGATTTGGGGGGCGTCGGAGGGGGTCGCGAGGCGGTAGTGCATGGCGGGGGTTGGCATGTTTCCGGATTTGGTTTGTATCCTGGGTGATATTAGGTTATATGTGTGTTGTGGTGATTGGGGAAATTATAGGATAGCTTTACATGATATTGAAATAGAGTGTCGCATTGCATTCACTCTCGCAGAGTTGGAGAAGAAGGTTGGTGAGCTCTGTCCGCGGTGAAAGAGAGCGCTGGAAAGTCAACGATCGAAATAATGGATATAAGGTCTTATACAGCGGCATCTGGGTAGTTGGAATATCATATAGAATGTACAATCTGTGGCTGCCCTATTGCGGCTTTATTCCCGTTGTCATGGTCCACGCCCTACGCCCTGCGGGATACACGGAGTAAGCAATATTGTGATAATCACCGGATGCAATGTTTTGCTTACGTCTCTTGTGCATCACTTGATATTAAGACACGCAAGTAGGAAGGAATAGTTATTTGTCTGGTGTTTGAGTAACCTCCTACGTCCACTTCGAGGAGCCCTTCTCCTGCCAGCTAGAACGGACATTAATCAATGCGATGGTTCAAATGGTAAGACGACTTTTTGTTTGATGGCTGACCTTTGACTCGAATATAGTCCATCTTGCCGAATCACTGGCTACTGATGTGTTGTGCAAGGGTAGGGAAGGCCGGACTTAGTAGTGATCAGTAGTAATAAATAGAATATTACATCAAACGAATCTCAATTCCTGTTCTGAGTACAACTAGATGTAACCTCTGCCCCTATTTCTTATCTGTCTATTGTCCACTTGTTTGACTTGCATTTCACTCGTTTCGGCTGACTGTTCTAGCAGGTGGATAAAGTCCAAGCTTTAGAGCTTGAGTCTCGGACAAGAACAGGCCACTTCAGTAGTAGAGACACACTATCATAAACGGCTTGAATAGAGAAAATGTGTCTCATATCCCTGCGATACATGCCGCCTACCACCCTCCCTTAGCTTTCGGCTATTTTCTCGACCAGTCTTCAATATCTGTATCACTCTTGGACGGTTCTCGGAAGTGGATCAGGACCGGATGCACTCATGGACGACGAGAACAGGAAACTCAAACTTGAAGCACAATCGTCGGGATTGGCGCGTGACTCAATAAATGGCTGGACCACTGCTTCACTCCCCTTCACTGCTGCTCCATGATAGCGCGCCAATCTAGAGCTATCCATTGGGTTAGCGCCTGCGTCAAGCAGTAGCTGGACCACTCCCTTGTGCCTTTTCGCTGCTGCACAAGATAGTGGCGTCTGGTTATAGATATCATTTGACTCCGGATTGGCACCTGCCTCAAGGAGTAGGTTAACCACTGCTGGGTACCCATTCAATGCTGCACGTGATAGTGGTGTGTGATCCAACCAGCTACCCTTTGACTCTAGGTTGGCGCCAGCTTGAAGAAGCAGCTTAACCACTGCTTCATGCCCGCTCTCTGCTGCCAAAAATAGTGGCGTCTTATTATAGATATCCTTTGTCTCTGGATTGGCGCCAGTCTGAAGAAGCAGCTTAACCACAGCCTCACGCCCATTCCGTGCTGCACGGGATAGTGGTGTCTCACTCCTGCCAGCCTTAGCCTCTAGCGTGGCTCCTGCTTCAAGAAGTACCTTAACCACTACTTCATGCCCTTTCTCCGCGGCCAGAAACAGCGGTGTCCAACTCAGGCTACCATTGAACTCCGGGTCAATCCCTGCCTTAAGGAGTCGATTGACAACTGCTCCGCATCTATTTGAGGCGAACACTTTGTCTACCAAGCTCTCATCTTTTCGTAGGATAATTTCCACCAAATCCGGCATGTCCTTTTCAATGGCCCTAGAAAGGCCTTTCAGCAGCGTTGCACTCGACTGTTGAAATCTCCCTTGCTGAACAAGTAGTTTGGCGATCTCAATCTCATCGTGATCTATTGCCACGACTAGGGCTCGCTGACCATATCTTCCTTCCATCTCAACTGCGGCAGGCTCTTTCTGGAGCAAGATTTCAACGATTTCCCTATGACCATTTTCCACAGCAACATATAATGGAAAGTCCGCATTCAGATTCTGAGAAGTTGCTGAAACGCCGTACAAAAGAAGAAGATTCACAATCGCTGTTTGTCCACTTCGTGAAGCTAAGAGAATAGCCTCATCATCATCATCATCATCATCATCATCATATACATCATCAGTTTCATGTTCATTTTCATCTTCAGTTTCATCTTCGCAATGGGTTCCATTGTCCCTGTCGAATTCCGGTAGCCTCGTCGTGTTGGCTCCAGCCTGCAGAAGTTCCAATATGACTCGTTTAAGAAGATCCTCGTTGTCCTTAATCTCTTTCAGTGCGAGATGGACGGCCCCATCTAGTTTCACTTTTTTCTCAATAAGCTTCATGAGTAGAGGCTCGTCCCTGTTACGAATGGTATAGGAAATGAGGGCGCTCTCTTGGCTAAGATATTTAGGGTCAGCCCCTGCTTCAAGCAATGTATGGATCACCTCTCTGGTATTGTTTGTTATGGCAACAGTCAGTGGCGTTTCACCATCATTATTCTCGGTGTTAGTATCCACAAGGTAACTTCTTTCCGGTTCTCTGGTTCTCGCACCGTTGATGCTCTGCTCAACGCCTTCATTTTGTTGAAGCCGCCACATGATCGACCGATTGAGCAGCGCTAGGGCCATATCCTGCTTGTCCTCTCTGATCGCGAGAAGTAATGGCGTATTCCCTTCGGCGTCTCTACCGTCAAATTGCACATCATCTTGCTGCAAGAATTCGTCAAAAGCGCTCTTCGAACCCAGCGCGATAAGAACATGAAGCGCGGTTGCTTGAGCAAAGGGCCAGCCTATAGGCGCGTAAATGCAATCAGGATCGGACACACTCCATACACTGCCGATTCTCTGCATGTCTGGTTGTCGATCTGATTGAATGAGAGAGAGGAGATCAGATTGGGCGATTCCCTCTTCTTCCACCTCCTGGATATGGTGCAACAGGAACCGCACAGCGTATGGGACCAGTTGGAACCTTATCCGGAGTTTACTTGGCCTCCACTGAGCTTCTTCTATCACTTCCTCTAGCGTCAAGTATCTGAGACAGGATCTCGATATTTGAAAATGACCAGCTGCGACTGGAGATTGAGAAATATTTAGGTCATGTTCAACATGGCTAAGGAAATTCTTGAGCAAGTAGTCAGCAACTGATTGGTGGATCAATTGAGCCTCCCTGTCGGGGTCTTCCCCGTCAGGACCATATTGCTCCCAAACCTCGCGGGTTTGAAATTCAACCAGCCCCCTTGAAAGGTGCTTAACATGCCTCTCGAACTCAGGCAGAGTGTCAGACCAACTTGAATGCTTTCGAATGTCGGTATTGCACTGCATGTCCTTATCGATAGAAAGTGCGTCCCGAAGCTCTTGCGCAGACAACGGCCGTGCTGTGAATAGGACCCATTGGAACAACTTGACAGTCTGCTGCCTTTCGGTTTCCGGAACACTACACATAATGCTCGCATAAAGTTCATCGAGAGCTTCCGGTATGGTGACGAGCTTTTCCTGCAGGATGTCCGCCTTGGTGCCATTGTCGTTCTCCTCAATCACCATATTACAAACTAGGACCGCCCATTGAAATCCTCCTTGAGCTTTTAACAGGATCTCCTTTTCAATTTGCTGACGCTTTGAGTCTGGTTGGACTTGTTCGAGCCTATTTCGAATGACCAATCGAATGTCTTGATCATTTCGCTCTTCCACGGAAATAGTTGGGAAGATGTCGAGGCCAAGGATAGGATAGTGTCTAGAAGAAACACATATCTTTACCAGTCCCTCATCGCGCTCAACGTCTCTCATAATATCTCTGAAGTACGATAGCAAGCTTCTTGCAGCGTCTTTACCCGTCTCGTCAAGCGCGTCGACAAAAATGACAACAGGATGGGCCTTCGTCCCTTTTGTCAGAACTCGGAACAGAAATTCTTGGAGCTCTTTTTCCCCCCAAGTCCATCTATTTTCCTCATACGATCCAAATCGTTTCTCACGATCCTCGAACTGGGCAGTGAGCTCAGAGAGGTAGGTTGGGAATGATTTGAGCAGGGTATTTAACAGTGCACGGAAAACACCCAATGGCGTCTTCTGAAAAAGCGTTCCTCGACCGTGTAGAAAGAAAGACACCACAAGCTCTCCATATTTTCTGTGGGCCATCTGAGCAGCAAACTTCATGAGAACGGATTTGCCGGCTCCGGGATTCCCTTTGATCCAGAAAAGACCTCTTGGCTTGTTCATCCAGTCTTTGTACTGTGGGTCATCGAGGAGCCACCCACAGGTGTTTACTGCCGAATGAATGTCATTGAGTCTCCAGTCCTGTTCTCGAAAGAAAAGTGACCTGAGACATTCTGTGCCTGGTCAGTTGCCTGTTGAGCATTAGGTCTTGCACTACATACCCAAGCTCTCTGCTGAAAGCGACACTAAGGCTAGAGATGCTCTTAGTAAATTTACGAAGCTAGACAATCAAATCTGGTCACACACAGTTATTTCCAGCTTCTGCAATCACAATACCACGCGTGCTTCGTGCTTCCAACAGTAGTGGCCGTAGAGCTGTTTTAACTCGTTGATATAGGGCATCATATTGGTCGCTATATTTCACCATCTCGGAGTGACATCGGCCGATTGGGTGTTGGTTTTTACTGCCGCATGTCGCGGATGAAACATCAACCAAGACTCTCAAAGGTCCGGAGAGTTCCCACCGGCCGTTTTTCTAGACGAAGTTTAAGCAGTAATAATGATGATAACGTTGAACTGCTCAGTAACTCACCTTGATCGCGGTGCGGGACTTCTCCGTTTCGTAGAAAGAGATAATACGAATATGCCTTCCGCCGAGTACATCCTTGAAGTCCTGTTCGAGGCGTATAAGAACCGCTGAATTCTTACCCAGGGACTCGAGTAGACCGCGGTTCGGCTGGTCTTTTACCAAGGGGACGAGCGACTCGATAGCCATCCCTTGATGGGGGACGCCGAAGAACAGGAATCCGCAAGTGGAATTTAGTATTGATGCGCCAGTCTCATCCACTTCCTCTTTCAGCTTGCATATAGCCTGTCGACCGGCGTGTGAGCATACGGAAAGCCATACTCATCGTCAATACAGACCTCTTTAATGACGAGACCCCCAAGGCTATGTCCAATGAATACTATCGGACGGGATTGGTTTGGTTCCTGCACACTGTATTAGCCATATCGTGCATATTCAAGTGGAGATGCGAGGATCGATGACCCGGATGCCTTCCATGTCGATCTGAAGGGCTCTACCCAAGTCTGTCAAGTTCTGGAATGAGCTGCTTTGGACTAGCCGAGTGTCGTAACCATAGATCAGGATCCTTGCATTGGGAAAATCCAGTGGCAGAGCATCACGGAGCCACATGAATGAACCGCCCCTTTCTTTGAAGGAACCAAAAGCGTGGCCACCAAGACCGGATATTGCGATCACGCTTTGTACAAGTTAACGTCGCTCCGTAGTCACAGAGGTCCTGAAAACTTACTCCACGTCACAGCTGTCTTCTTCAGAATGTTGGAGAGGCGTGAAACCCGAGAAGTGAGTATCCAGTATAAGAGTGGGTTTGGTGTCCACGGTGTCTTCATCCCCGTCCGGGGGCAGCGCAAATTTCCATTGATCTTTTGAACCTTGAGATAAAGAGACAGGGAGAGTATGGAAACTAAGGGTGGCGACCTTGCTGTTGCGCTCGACGGGGTTAATGGCAAGAGAATGAACCGCGACGCTCGCACCAGGTCCAATAGAAAGGACGCTCATGACAAGTTCCCGGACATCAGGCCTGGTTCGACATTGAAGTGGGATTCCTCTTAGCCTGAAGTTTTGATAGTGGTCTGTTGCCATAATGCAGCAATTCTGCCGATGGAGAACGTCCCTGTAAGTTTGACAAAGTCAACGCTGAAGTGAAAAAACGGTAAGAATTCTAACCAAGTCACGGGCTCATGGCCAACACACTTGTCGGTCGAATCAGTACGTGCCAATGCTCAGCCTTGCTCGATGTCCAATTAGTCACTCGTTTCTGGCGCCCTGCTGCACATTTGAATGGCTATTACACCCTTGAGTGATATTACTGGTCCGATCCCCCTGCCCTGGCAATTTCCTAGCCTTACTGCGCCGCGCCTAAACCTTGAGGAAGATCTCTCAATTCCTCAAATCTTCAATCTCTTTCTTTTCGTTTCCATCCTCATCATGAAATATTTACAGAAAGTTCGTGCACGACCCGGATCAAAGGACGGAGTGTTGATGATGTTTCTTTCCAGTATAAAGCTTCTCAGTTTACGTCTTTAAAGTCAATGGCGTTGTGAGATTGATGGAAGATGGAGTCGACAAGGTGAGTGAGACCGATAATAGAATTGATTAAATCAATGATGAAGTTGACGGTCAAGTAGCACTGTCAGGCCCCCTTTCCAGAAAGAAAATGAACTCCTGAGCAGTGTTTGTCTGCCTGTCTACATTCCGCAGAGAACTTCAACCTTCTATCCCGTGGATGACCTGCGCACATACCTAGAGCATGAGCTGCAGACACCCCGTCTGGACAAAATTCATCAACATCTCTGGCTCGCAGGTCTCCCTAGGGCTGCACGACCATTGCATCGACAAAGACTGCTTGATCGCACAATCATAGTCACCGAAGATCCGAACGAGCACCTGGTTTGGCATGAGTCTCGTATAGTCGTCAAACCGCTTCCGGAATATCTGCTTTCCTATCAGTTCTGGCAGGACCATCTCGAAAAGGAATTTCAAGATGAATCTTTACGCAAAGCTGCTTATGGGTTTCTCCTATCCTATAGTTGGCTTATATGTCGTAGATCCGATCTCACCGTGGCGCATTCCAGTGGTCTTTTGCCTGAATCAATCACTTGGGAGAATTGGGTGAAATTCCTGGCCGACTTTCTAAGTCATGTCGATATAGACTCACTTAGCAATGTCTCCATTCGGTACCGGTACGGCGAGCTGCGTCTGTCAAGATTGCATCGGATATACAGGTTTTTCCCTTCAGTCTTCTCCACAACAAATTTTATCAAGGGATTCAAATCCGAGCCGACGTGGTATAAAGCCTTCTTTGCGCGCAACTTCAGCTGGATCTTTGCCGTTTTTGCGTACGTGACCGTTGCATTAAGTGCGATGCAGGTAGGGCTTGGGACACAAAAGTTGCAAGAGAATCATATCTTCCAGCAAGGATCACAACGATTCGCAGTTGCAAGTTTGATTCTACTTGCTGCAAGTGTGGCTCTGATCTTTATCATCTGGGTCTTTCTATTCTGCTTTCATTTCTTGTGGGCTATGCAGAGTCCAAAACATCGAGCGCATTAGAGAACAAAGCTTTCTCCTTCATCTTAGGACGCGCGGGATGGGAGATCCATTCGTCTAACCTTGGCCGGGCACTTGAATGACATATTCAAGCGTATAACATCAGCCGGCGACTCCCGACGCGCTGGTTTGGCAACAGTTGGTGGCCACATCTCCGCGGAGCATATTATCACGACCGAAACCAAGTCGGCTCAATAGTTCGGGCAGATGTCGGAGGAGATGCTTCAGCAGATCTCACGGATCAGAAACTACTCCCCTTGATGTGAAGGAACTGAGTTGAAGGAGAGGCACGTGGTCCAAATGGGAAACTAGAGATTCTGGAGAAGGCTGGGGTCGCATCAGAAGTCAATGTTGATAGGGATCCTTCTACCACTATCTGTCGGTTATTTTTGACTCCTCAAACAATGGAGAGGCCGATGGGGTACTATAGAGTGCCCTAGTGTTCACTGTATGAATAGACTCTCAAGCCTAGCTACATAGCATTGATTGAAGCGTCTATAGCTTTCAATATATAGTACCCCTATTATAGCTCTACACAGCCAACTCCCGCACTTATATGACAAGCACAAGTTGCTCCGTAGAACAAAGATAAGAGTGAGGAATAACTTTATATTGGTGGGAGGACATGTGACAGGGTCAGGTTGCATTTGTTTTAAAGTTAATAATAGCAATGTCTGATCTGCCGAGGTCCAAGCACTAGTGCTGTTGCACAGGCACTACGGAGAAACAAGGAACGACTAATGGTCAGGCCCACAGTTCAAGATCTCCTGAATTTGTTATTCAGGCTTACTTCATAGACCATTAAGGTATGTTTACCTTTCCATAGGTGGCAGCGAGTAAACCGTGTCCGGGTGTTTTCAAGAAGCTTCGATCTGAAGACTTTGATACATTCGAGGTCGAGGCCAAGCGAGATATCGGATGCCCATATTTGGAGCTATATTTAGCAACTCTGAAACGGTGGGGATTGGGGACAGTTACCCGAGTCCAGACCCACGGTTTGAGCAGGTTATTCAGCAACCTGAAACGGTTCCTCGTCGACAGTTTCAGATCGTCCTATGCCAGGTACCATCTCCAAGTCGATAACTAGATCTTCCTGCTTCCCCACAGAGAGGATACAACATGAGGATACCACAGGACGGAACAACGATTGTTTCACCATTGAAGGAAGTTCCCATGGAATGCTCCATGTCTACACGGACATCTCCTTTTTCTTCGAAAAAAAAAGTCTCTCACTGTGCCAAAGTAGAAGAAGCTTTCCATTTGAAGCACTCGGACTTCCTTTACGGGACAAGACGTATCCGTCGCAAATGACAGGAGGCAGGCTGGGACAGCTTTTGTCGTGGATGAACCCCTCTGTAGGTTTCACCAGGGCCCTGAACCTCTCGGTTAGCAGTGAACACCGAATCCGATGGTCTTCCCTCGAACGATGGAGAACGATAGATGCTCCCATTTGTCAGTCTATCCATTAATGGGCCGGATTAGCCAGGTTGACAACCGCGATGGCGTCATGAGATTGGGGCAGACCCTTGCGACTCCCTGTATCAAGCTAAGGTATGGTGTGTTGCCCCTAAAAAAGAATGACGTGAAGAATAACAGAATGGATTCTTCACAGTGATAGTCTTGGTGGATCATGTAGTCAAGGAGCCTTAGAGTGATAGGCGGACTTATATACGCAGTGAGCGCTGCTCTGTTGATCATCTTGAGTCTATTCATCTGCATCATCACCATGAAGACTAATCGGATGGTGGATTACTCCACAGGTCATGATGGCCTCAACACTCCCCGCGATGTCCTTTTTGTTCAACTCATCTATTCGTCCATGTTGGCTTTCGCCGGGATGGTCCTACTCGCACGGGTGGCTCAAATCGGGCATGCCTATCTTCGCTACATTGTCTGCTCCGGTGCATCTGAAAAGCAACAATCAGTCTGGAGCATCACGGAATCATCAGTCTGGGTCCGAATCAAAAGCCGTCTGCTCTACGCTCCCTTGTTCCGCAAGCGCCATAACCGAGAGATCCAGCTCTCGTCGGCCATGAATATGGGCACTCTCCCTTCCCGGTTTCACTCGCTTCTTATCTTTGGATATATTCTCAGCCAAATCATCTACTGCTGTGACCTCAACTATCAGAATGAGACACCCGCCATTATTGCAGAGCTTCGGGGACGCTCCGGCACATTGGCCACATTAAACATAGTCCCTCTTGTGCTCTTTGCAACCCGCAACAACCCCTTGATCCCTCTTCTACGGATCAGTTTCGACTCATATAACCTTTTCCACCGATGGTTGGGCCGCATCGCTGCCATCGAGAGCATAATTCACATGGCTGCTTGGGCCGTCAACACCGTCCGAGAGGCAAACACGGCTGCACTTGCTCAGCATCTTGCTGAAACGCCTTCCTACGCCTGGGGAATGGTTGCAACTACAGTCATGGCATTTTTCATTCTTCATTCTCTGTCGCCCGTACGACACGCCTTCTACGAAACCTTTCTCTGCATCCATCAAGTGGGCGCTTTCTTCATCATCTTGGGCATATACCTGCACCTCGACATGCACAGCCTACCTCAAAAGCCATGGATCCAATGGGTCATTCTCCTCTGGAGTGCAGAACGATGCACCCGACTTCTCTGGCTGGTCTTTTTGAATGTGTCTCGACGACATGGCATGACAAAGCTACGAGTAGAGGCGCTTCCTGGCGAAGCCTGCCGTCTCACCTTCTTCCTGCCCAAGCACTACCCCGTTCCCCCCGGCAGCCACTTCTTCGCGTACATCCCCCACATCTCCTGGTGGATGTCGCACCCCTTCTCCGCCGCCTGGACCGAACCCTCCAACACCACCCGCCCAAAAAGCATCCAATCATTAACCGACACCAAATCCCTAACCCTCGAAAGCCAATCCTCCCCATACAACTACACAGCAGTGACTCTAGTCGTCGCAGCCCGCCAAGGCATGACCCGCGCACTGTACACTCGCGCAATGTCCTCCCCAGACGAAACATTCACCACGACCGGCTTCCTCGAGGGCCCATACTCCTCCCACGCAGTCAACATGGCCAGCTACGGCACGGCAATCCTCTTCTCCGGCGGGGTCGGTATAACGCACCACCTCCTCTTCATCCGGGATCTACTCCTCCGCGCCGCAGCCGGCCGGGCCGCCACGCGGTCCATCACGCTGGTCTGGGCGGTCCGCAGCATGGACGGTGTCCGCTGGGTGATGGAGTATATCCAGGGGATTCTGCAGATGCCGCACGCCGAGTCGATCCTGACGATCATGCTGTTTGTGTCGAAGCCGAGGAGTCCCGGCGAAATGCGCAGCACGGGGGGCATGATCCGGACGTTTGCGGGGCGGTGTAATCCGGCTACTGTGCTGGAGGAGATTATGCCCCGGAGGATTGGGGCGACAGTAGTGTCGGTTTGTGGGCCGGGGGCGTTGGGGGATGATGTGAGGGAGGCGGCTAGGCGGCAGGTAGATCGGGGGGTTGCCCTTGATTTGGTGGAGGAGGCGTTTACTTGGTAGTGCTGTTTGTATATCATGTTCTAGTAGTATATAAGTAATGAGTAATGTATAATAGTGTTGATGTGCAACGATAACATTGGATCTGTATCGGCAACTTGCTATCACGGACTGTCAAGTCTGTATCGTACTACAGCCTTTGCGTATATGCGCTCTACGCAACAGAGTCAGATCCTTATAAATGACTCAAGTACAAGCAGTAATAATCTAATACTGTGGACTGAGCTACTAGTAATTCATAATTATATAATGGTTTGGTCCACTCAGCGAGCTCACAAACACCGTTATGGGGGCATCCTTCGTATCGCATAACGTTATGGTGAGAAGCCGTCTACGAAGTGGGAAAGAACATCGTTATCTTCTCTTAGACGATCAAACGCAGTAAACATGACCCGACCTGTATTTTCTATCCTTCAATACGATATCTCCAGAATCGGCCTAGCATAACGTTATGTAAAGAGTCAGACCGCACATATATAAGACGACTAAAACCCTTCTATATTGTCATCCATAACCTCACTAGAGTACGGATCACCAACCAGAATGAGCCTTCAAGGAAAAATTGCCATTGTTACTGGCGCCTCGCGCGGAATCGGCGCCGGGATTGCCCTCGATCTCGCAAAGCAAGGTGCAAAGGTGTGTATCCCATCTTTCCCTCCGCAATGATATCGCTAATTCCAACTGCTCACCCTAACCTACACCTCCGAAAGCAGCAAACAAGCAATCAACGAACTATGTGACCAAATCCACTCCCTGGACAACGGCTCCGCAGCAATCAAAGTCCAAGCCGACCTCCGACAACCAGACGCCCCAGCTCGAATGCTCACTGCCACGTTCGACGCATTCCCCAATGCCAATAACAAGATCGACATCCTAGTCAACAACGCCGGCGTATCCCTATGCAAGAACCTCCTTGAAACAACTGACCACGACATCTCCTCCGTCTTCGACATCAACGTCTACGGCTTGATGAGCATGACCAGAGCGGTAATCCCGCATCTCCGCGCCCCAGGCCGAATTATCAACCTCAGCTCTGTAGCCGCTCGGCGCGGGTCACCCGGTTTCTCGGTGTACTCCGCCTCCAAGGCAGCGGTGGAGGGATTCACGAGGTCGTTGGCGTGTGAATTGGGGCCAGTGGAGTGTACGGTTAATGCTGTTCAGCCGGGGGCGGTGGAGTCCGATATGTTGCGCCGGGAGGTGCCTGAGCAGGTGATCGCCTATATTCAGGAGAATACGCCGTTAGGCAATCGGATTGCTATCCCGGAAGATATAGCGAGGGTTGTGACTTTCCTAGCGGGAGAGGGGGCGCGGTGGGTGACGGGGCAGAGTATTTGTGTTAGTGGGGGATTGCATATGAATTAGTGTCAGTCATGTATTATTATCTGCCAGGGCTAGAGCTTAGATGAGTTAATGGCAGAGTTGGATATGTTACAGTGACGTCCTCCCCTGGTAAACACCCGCGTACCCCTCTACCTCCTCGCTCATCTGGTGGAATACAAACTGCGCGAGTCGCGCAGAAGGGTAAACCCTCAGTCCGGCGGGATTAAGCACTTGCATCAAGGCCCCAACTGCGCCTACATATCCACTGTCCATAACGCCGGCGGTGAGCAACACACCAGAACGGAACAAAGAGCTGCGCACGAAGATCTGGCCCATCGCGTCCAGAGGGACGGAAACTGTCTCGTTGAATTCGACGAGATAGGATCCCTGCGGGAGGTCGAGGAAGCGTTCCTCTGGAGTAGTGGTACTTGATGCAGGGAAGGGGATTTCGTTGGTTGACGCGGTCTGGCGACGCTGGTTGTCTAGATCGATTATTCCAGGTGATGTCCAGGTAAGGACTCGTTTGAGGGTGAGATCCACGCCGCAGGGTTGGACTTGTAGGGTTGGATTCTGCACATTGCGGATGATGGTGCGGGTGAGGAGAGCGCGGCCAGGGATGATCATTTAGTTGGTTTAGTCTTGTGTACGGAGTTTCAGTGAGGCTGTTAAGGATAGATAGCGTAGTCTCATGGCAAACCAAAGACTTTTATAATATTGGGCTGGATGTTTTCAATGATAGGAGCATCGATCCAAGACGGGAAGGCTAAAGGTACTACTCTTACTCATATTATGCCAACTGGCCAAGAGATAAAGGTGGCTAGATTAAACGCCAAGAGAAGTCTCAATCTAACTAGCCAAGTTAGCAATAGTCTAGGCTCGGATTATCAACTCCTCACAGAGTGGCGACGGCCGTTTGTGATAGAGCTTTTAGCTTGGCATAGTTAGCTCAAGTTGTAGTGAGGCAGCCTGAAATGAAAAGACTGCTGCGCCTTAATTTGAGTTAGAATGTCACAATACAATATAGGGGCATCTAGATAAGATATATCCACGGCAAACCACAAATACTGGGCTCACTTGGCATGCAAATCCGTGCACGATGCACTCTGCCGATCGAATGGATCTGCTCGACAAGTGGGACCCGGAATTTGAGGATGTCGGCACGCTTAGTTTGGATGAGATTTATCAAGAACTGAGTCGCCTCGATGCTTTTGAGCGATTCATAAGTTCGAAGCAAGGACAGAATGGTCCTGACAATCCCGACAAGGAAGTTAACGATGATACCAATGCTGGGAAGGATGGTGAGGACAACCCAGAGACCCGACAGAAGACCGTACTCCGTGACATCAACACACGCCGCATCGCGCTTCGAGCTGGGGCAATGGAACTTTCACGCGCGAAGATCCGACCAACTACAATAGTTGATTTGCCTGCTGATATTCTGCTCCAGATTTTTGGTTACTTCCAGGACTCAAGGATCGGAAGACGGGCCCAAATTGACTGGAGGTCGCCGGCCAGGGGCTGTGAAGAAGATATTGCCCGTAAGACTGCCCGCGAGACGATCCGGCAAATCCGCCTGGTCTGCAGCCTGTTCAACGATCTGGCGTCTCCACTGTTGTGTCCAATCCTCCGCGTAGATCTGGACCAGGAATCGATGAATGGGGCGGTCGAATTGTGCAAACGTCCCCGGATAGCTCAAGGAGTGCATGCCATCCAAGTCGGGCTGCAATATCGTCCAGAAGAGCTTGTCTCAGACTGCTCGCGATTCAAGGACTATTTCAAGCTGCAATTGGATGAAGTGGCCCATCGCTGTGACTGGCTCTGGGGGAATGAATCAGACGACGAGACAGAAGGCCGGGAAGACCTGAGGGAATATCGAGAAGCGACACGCAATCACGACAAAGTCCGTAGTTCGTGGGACGCCTATTTTCACTCCGACGAGAGTGACGAAAATGACGAGAATGATGATGTCGCCGAAGCAGAGGCGGATGAGCACATGGGGATCCTCGTCCGAGGTTATAATGAATATTGTAAAAAGCATGAAGAGCAGCTGCAGCTCATCACCAGTGGATCCTTCGTCACCATGCTTGCACGTTGTATCTCCCAACTGCCCAACACGGTGACCCTGGGCTTCACAGACGAAATGGAACCACTATATGATCGGAATAACTGGACAATTTTAATGAGAGACATGAGTTTGCTTCCCGGAATGATGAGCGCAGCGCTACAGTGGGAAAAGATTGATAATTTGCGCCATGGCAATGATCTACTTACGCGTGATGCCAAACTTACGCCCGCCAGGATCTTGTTTGACCTGCCGGTTGCCATACACAAATCCGGAATCAAGCTGAGGTATCTTGACCTTGGACCGTTCCCATGCCGAAGCAGTTTTTCTCTGCTCTGTCCCGAAACCGTGAGCAATCCCACCGACTCAGCAGCATGGTCAGCTCTTCGAGCGGCGTGCAGCAGCCTCTGGAGAGTCGAGTTCAAGGCGTTCTTTCAGTACCGGTACATCCGCTACGAGCACCTCCGACCGGATGAAAAGCACTATGTCGATCAGTACCTCAGCACAGTACTTTGCAGTGCAGATCTAAAAACTGTGTCGTTGAACTTGTATTCGTTTGGCCTCAATGATGGCCGCACTACGATGCAGGGCTGGTACGATATAAGCCCCGTTCTTAGTGCTGTCAATTGGCCACGGGTCGAACGTATAAGCATCTCGAATGTCTCTTCGAAGCAAGATGAGCTAGAAAGCTTTTGCTCCGGGCTGGGACCCTCAACGCGGCGCCTTTCATTGCGGGCTATACACCTTTTGGATGGCAGCTGGGAAGGTATTCTGCGTACATTGGACGAGAAGATGCGGTCTACGTTCCTTGAACAGAATGTCAGAGTGTATCTGAGTGATCTGACGGGGGGAGAGTTTGGAGAGGTAGAGATCAGGGAAAGAACCCCCCTCTTCGGGTTCGAGGACTCGGATGACGAGGTGGAGCCGCCCAAACCACCTCCTGCGGCAGGGGAGTTGTTGAAGAAGCAATACGCTCCATTCTTCTCTATCTGGTAGCTGTGTCACTGCCATGGTCGATAGATCGTGTGCAATACACTCCTAGAATTGAGGATCAATAGCTATGAAATTGACTTTAGAGACCCATCTGGACCAAGTTGTCGGGCAGTTGTAGGTTTATCCATTCCATGGTTCATAGCTACACAGCAACCAGCACTTCATAGATCCAGTGATACAGATCAGCTTATCGATCATATGATTCTTTCTTGACATCTATTACCATGAGACATCCCAGCACCTCACATCCCTCACATCCCTCACCATCAATCCTCAACACAACCATAATGTCCAAAGAAAGCACCGACCCCAACGCCATCGACCTCCTCTCCCGCCTAGCAACTCTCCTCGAAGAAGTCGCCAACAACCTGCATCACAATCACCTAGACCGAACCGCCATCCAGACCCTTCTGCACCAGTACTCCTCCCGCGCCGAACCCGACGGCCACCTCATCAACGCCTCAAAGCAGGACTCCCAGTGCGTCGAACACGGCGTCTTCCTCTCCTACGTCCACGTCGAGCTACTCTCCTGGCTAACCAAACACAACTACACCATCCCTGCGTCCTCAGTAAAATGGTATAGCTGGCGCAAGCTGAGTTCGCGCAAGTACCGTCTGCCATCGCTATTCTCTGGTCGCGCGCACGCGGCGCAGTTAGAGGATCTCTTGCGGAATGTAGTAGCCAAGGCGGAACTGCTGCATGCGGAACTGCGGGCTCATGAGGTTTGTTTATTTCATGTGGAGGAGCGTTGCTGATGGAGTTGTAGATTGAGATTCCGGATGTGGCGGTCGATTATGAACGGGTGACGCCTCAGGCGCCGCAGGGGACACCGCCGGAAGGTATGTAGTTGTTTCTCTCTGTGTGTTCTAGGGTCCGTTCTAATGTTACAGCTCTGCATAAATTGCTGCATCGCGCGATGCTGGCTGAGGTGCTGCTTCGGGAGGGAAGGGTATCGTGATTATCGTTGGGATGGCGTTGGTCTCTCTACGTTTGGCTTCAGATTCGGCCTTCTGATTGTTATTACTGCTTTCGTCTGCACTAGTATGTACTACCCCTGCAGATAATGATTCCATTCGTGTATAGCTTTCATCAATCCATCCTACGACTCAAGCGACCCGGCGAAGACCTCACCTGACTAATTCTCGTATCCAGCCTCCAGCTGACAAATGGAAGCCCCAGAACAAGGTCTAGCCCTGCGTAAACACATATATCCAGCCTTGTTACCCATAAAACAATCAATTCATTCCTTCACGATTGCACGCGTCATTCAAACCATTTGACTGCGCTAAAATGACTCACCCCACCCCCCAAACCCCAACCCTAGCCACCCCAGGAACGGGCCACCACCCCAGCGCAACCTCACACATCCGCATCGCGCGCCCCTGTCGCGACTTCACCGCCGCAGAGCGCTTCTACGTGACTGGACTCGGCCTCAAAGTCCTCTGGCGCAGTGGACCCGCGCACGAAGTCGAGGGCGGCCATGAGCTGCTGATGCTGGGGTGGCCGGGTGCAGCGTGGCATTTGGAGCTGGTGCTGGTGCATGGCAACGACGAAAAGAATGCGCCGAAGCCGACGGAGGAGGATCTATTGGTTATTTATGTGGATGGGGCGATTGAGCCGGGGGTTGTGGAGAGGTTGGTTGAGAATGGGGGGACCAGAGTGCAACATCCGAATGAGTATTGGGAGAAGTGGGGGGTTACCGTTAGGGATCCGGATGGGTATTTGTTGGTTTTGTGTCAGAGGGGGTGGACGAATGTCTAGCCTAGGGTATTCGGGTCTTATTGCGGATATGACCGCTATAAGATGCTATACGTAGAGACCATGTCTCGCTAGATATATAGTCTTGGGCCGATGACACGCCTTGGACTTGTTCCGCTTGTGAAGCACCTTCTTAGGCAAAAGTTCTATATGCTTTCTGAACATGAAATTTGAAGACAATCACTATGTCTCCGAGTGCACTGTGATTTGTAATGCATTAGGCTGTCTGATACTGTGATGCAGTCTTGTCCGAAGCCGAGACATGACTCGATATCGGCACGTGATACTCCGTACTGCTGTCGGTGGAGAGGGGCAGAATGCGCGTCAACATCATCCTTTCTCACACTCTCACTCTAGACAACTTGCAATCGTCACTCATCTAATGATGCGATTCCCGGCTCGAAATGCACCTGATCCCTTCTGATTTTAGCCCGTTTCTCCGTCATGGGCTACTTCGCCGGTACGGACCGCGCCGCCGCCTTCTCCAGGCCCTGTTGATAAGCTTCGCGCTCTGGACTGTCCTAGAGGTGCTGCTTATTTATCGACGAGTCTCAACAGCGGAAGCGATCAAGCCCCGTATGCCACAGAAACCGGAGCGAATATACATTGCGAGCATGCACTGGAATAACGAGGCGATTCTAAGGAGTCATTGGAATGACGCAATCGTTCAGTTGGCTAAAGCATGGGGGACGGAGAATGTCTTCGTCAGTGTCTATGAGAGCGGAAGCTGGGATGATACAAAGGGTGCGCTTCGTGATCTCGATGTGGAGCTGGATCGCCTCGGTGTGAGACGGAACATCACCCTCTCAGACACGACTCACGAGGATGAGATTTCCGTTTCTCCCTCGAGTGAAGGCTGGATAGATACTCCTCGCGGTCGTAAGGAACTCAGGCGAATACCTTACCTGGCTCGGCTTCGCAACTTGACCCTGCGTCCTCTGGAGGACCTTGAACGGCAAGGCATAGCATTTGATAAGATTCTCTTCTTGAATGACGTGGTATTCACCGTACGTATCAATCCTACTCAACCTTTACGAGGGAATGACTTCTCACCCTGTGGATGCCCGCAGGTGGATGACGTTATTGAACTGCTTAACACAAATGAAGGAGTATACGCCGCGGCCTGCTCTCTAGACTATTCCCGACCTCCGTTGTATTATGATACTTTTGCTTTGCGGGATAGTCATGGCGACGAGCATGTTATGCAGACATGGCCCTATTTCCGTTCTACAGTATCTCGGCATGCGCTTTTCAACATGTCTCCTGTCCCTGTCAAGAGTTGCTGGAATGGCATGGGTAGGCTCATCTTTCCTTTCCCCACACCACTTTATGCTCGTAGTGTACATCTTTCTTTGGTTTAACTCACCCGCTTGAACAGTCGCTATGCCCAGTGAGCCTTTCGTGTCGGGCACACCGCTGCGGTTTCGTGGGATTCCCGATTCTCTAGCACTATTTCATCTCGAGGGCTCTGAATGTTGCTTGATCCATGCGGATAATCCTCTGTCTGGACACCAGGGCGTCTACCTGAATCCCAAGGCCCGTGTTGGTTATAACGGCCCCGCATACGAAAAAGTTCATCCTGCTGGCTCCTGGCTGTCTCCACAATATATCGCTTTGGCTCTGTGGGAGAACAGATTCCGACGTTGGGCAACCACGACTCTTTTGAAGAAGTTCGTCGTTCGACGCAGACTTGCTCAATGGAAGGCACTCTCTAGCGGCCGACATGAACCTGGCGACTTTTGCTTGATTAACGAGATGCAGGTGCTCGTTGCGAATGGCTGGGCCCATGTATAGAGCCATTGAACATCACATTCGGGTCCATCCTAAGGTACCTAAATTGACTGAAACCGTACTGGAATGGATTCTATTACGATGTTTACCAATCAGCCAGTAATTGAGGCGCTTCCATAGCAATTCTCGGTGACTGAAACACCGAGGCCACGAGGAATTTCGCCCCCGATCTAAATTCAGCCTTTCGTCAGTGAAAGTTGTTCATTTGGAACACCACAAATCGGGCAATAATGGTTGAACACCCGAAAGGGAGTCGACCTGCTCATCCAATCTGGCGTCGGAATCGCCGTGCACAAAGTTCACGAATGCGGCTACGACATGGTTGAACCAGCACCAGTCAGGGCGACATAGCGCTTTGCAATGCAGACAAATCCCACAGCCTGCTGAAATGGACTATCACGCAGATGTGTTGGAGCTCTGTTGCCTCCGACCGCTGTCCACCTTTGACGCTAGCGAGTCGAACGGTTCAGCAGTGTCTGACTCGCAGTTTCCTACCGGAAAGCGCGCTGAATGTTGAGAATATATTCTAGTCGCTTAGATCTGAGGTGTCGAGACATTTAGCCGCTAGCATGATTGAATACAATGAAGCGTATATGTCTGGCTTTTGTTTTTTACAGATCTTTGTATCACACTGTTTGATTGTGGTGAGATATGACGAGTGAACCGTGCTTCCCTACCGCCGACGATTGAGCGCATCTTCGAAGACTAATACTTAGTTCGGGCTAGATCTGCATATGCGACCTCTCCTTTAGATAATCCATAGCATTGAGGTGCCCATCCATCTACATCTACAGACATCGAGCCGTAACGTATTATATGCCACAATTGGAGCGGTAATCTAATCGATTACGCGTATACGACTTCTCTCACCGCTTATAGTTGACTGATATTACTAAATTGACTAGAGTACAGTCGCGCAATTATATTCCTCCCTCGAAACGTGCATCTACAGGTGCCCCTGACCAGCCGAAGAAGCAGGAGAAGTACCAGCCGCACTCGCCGAGGCAACAGTCTCGCCCTTGAACTTGGACAACACATCAGCAGTCGACCCAGAGAGCGTCCCAGAGCTGGAGAACGAATTGGCAACACAATCACGGCCGATATACGACTCGCAAGTAGACGAAGCACTCGCGGACCCGAACAGCTCGCCCGTGAAGCTAGAGGACTCGACGGCGGCAGTAACGTCGGAGAAGAGGTTCCCCTCGGCAAGGACGTAAGCGCCGTCGCCGATCTCGAAGGCGTGGTTGGAGTTGTCGTTCCAGTAGTTGTTGACGGCGTGCAGGTAGGTGTTGCCCTGGACCTTGGGCGCGCGGCCGCTGGTCTTGTACAGGTAGTTGCCCTTCAGGGTGACCTTGTCGCTGGAGCCGTCCAGGTAGATGTTCCAGTAGTGGTGGTTGTCGCAAGTGGCCGAGTAGTCGGATTCGCCGTCGATGTAGTTGTTGGAGAGGGTGATGCGGTTGCTGGCTTCGGTGCCGAGGACGTAGTGTTGGCGGCCGATGCGGGCGGTCTATCATCACTTCGTTTAGTCTTTTGTATTTTCAATTTGTTTGTGTGCGAGAGAAACGTACAGTCACATGGTCGACCCAGACGAGGTCGGCCTGGTTGATGGTGATGGCGTCGCCTCCCCAGACGTACTTGGGGTTGATGTCGGTGACGGCGATGTTCCTGACCAGTCAGCATAATCCTTCCCTTTTGTATGCAGGCACTGACTGAATGATGATGTTCTCAGCACCGCTGACGATACGAAGGCCCTTGCCCTTGATGACGCCGGAGGTGCCCTGGCCGATGAGGGACTTGTTGGAGTTGACGGTGATCCCAAGCGAGCCGGCATTATCACTACTTGTGTCAGAACCTTGACAGAAATCCGAATGGAGCAGCATACTAGGTCACCGAGACAGAAGGAGCACTCGACTCGTAGTTGGTGCACCAGTCATCCTTGTTGATGGCTAGCTGGCAGCCAGAGGCAGTACCCCAAGGCGCGCAGCCAGTCGCGGTGGTGGTACCCTCAGTTCCAGTAAAGTCAAAGGTCTTGGTGAGCACAATCACACGGGCCTCGCTATCACCAAGGTACGAGACCAGCTCGTCGGTGGTGGAGGGATAGACGGGGGTAGCGCTACCACCGCCGGTCACGGACGAGGCGAAACCCTCGGCGGTGCCTTGGACGCCAATCGCAATGGCCTGGGAGACCAGAGCGCCGATGGTGGGAAGGAGAGCAGCGTACTTCATCCTGGAAGTAGGCACAAAACGAATGACAGAGTTAAATGAAGGAAAGACGAAAGAATGACAGGGTGAGATGTGCTGAGGAACGAAACATAAGCCATGAGTTGCACATCGCTGGATTTATATACAGTTGGTTCTCCAGTCTCAACCCCTGGCGGACCAGTCGATGACCATGGAACTTCTCCAACAGCATTCTAAAATTGCTTGTCAGAGATTCTCCGTCGAGTGGAGATGTACAATTACTCAGTGAACGCCAATCCACCAGTAATCCCCCAGTTGGTGGAATCGGCGATGGAAAGAATAATGTCTGTACAGGGTGATTCGAATGCCGATCTCTCCACCATCTATGTAGGTTCCGGTAAGTGATCCGATATCTCTGCAAGACAGCTCCACCGCGTGCGGCATGAATCATGCTAGTTGATTCGTCGAGCCGGTTGATTTGATTGGTGAGTTTCAGGTATATCATCGTCGTTGTTGATGATGTTGAGGGGGTCATCTCGGAAGAAACACGGTATGACGCGGCCTATCCTGCAATGACGAATTGGAGAAATATATTTCGGAAATATACCGAATATTGCGATCAATCTCATAGTACTCTGTGTATATGAATTGATTAATTTTGTTTAATAGGTAGAGATCGCAGTGAATGTCATGCCCTCCGTCCACAGTCTGAAACACGCCATACAAGGTTACGTATGCACTGACGACTCAGCAAGGCATGATAATATCTCCCCTCTTTACATTGATTCTACGAGGGTCGGTCAAATACCTGTAACTGTTCACAACCAAGCATCATAGCTGGCTAGGCAGCTCTTGTGGCTGGCCGCTTACTTTAAGCTTAATATATACTCAGGACCCATGACTCCATACTTTTACCATCCTTTATCCTTTTACTGGATGTTATGATTATTGCGCCAAGTATCCGAAAATAATTGGGTGTAAATATAGGGTGCGTAAAAGCGTTGGGATGCTGAGGTGTGGATGCAAATTAAGGGGAAACTAACAAGAGAAGGAATATTCGTTTCTTCTCACTCTCCAGTTACAGAACAATACTTCAGGCTTTTCATGCACTATTGGAAATAGTATTGAAATGATTTATGCAGCTTCTCCTCCTCGGAGTAAAAGTGTATCACTCTGCATAAACGAGGGATCTAAGCAGAGAGTAGTGACAGATGATAGAATAGCCAGGCAGTCAGGGTTGGAGAGAACTGCAGAGGTACAGAGCAAGAACTTCTTAAAGTAACATGAATCTCGAAGACATTAATTTACCTGGATTGTGGATTACGCATCGGATATCAACAGGAACAATATCGGCCATGCTAGCTCCTGGTAGCCTCGCTGGCCGATGAATCTCTTCTCCAGGAAACAACAGGACGTTGGCAGGCTGAACTGAGGAACAAAATTGGCTTATTCCCACCTTGCAAGTCTACATGCTTGTTGCTCAGGTCCTTCTCAGCCTCGTCTTGGACAGAAAGTCTGACAAAAAGGATAAAGGATTTCCTGCATGAATTGCAAAAGGCGAATCGCTGATATGTAATCTCCCCTGGACCCGTCGTCCCACTCGGTCCGACTTGGTTGAATCGAAAATAATGAGGGTCCGACAATAGCCATAGAGCCCGCCGGGGATCTCAGTCTGGACGGGAATCCCCTGAACACCCTCGAACCTGGGACGACCTGTTCCTGCCATTCGTCACTTAGTGCACGCTCTAACTGTAGCCTTTGTTACTGCTACGCGAAGCACAAGTGTAGAATAGTAATAAGAGCAGGTGTCGAAGATTCAATGGTCTACCTTCACGGCAGCGAAGTATCAAGTAGACGAGGGTAAGGATAGACACAAGCACCACAAATAAGACTGGAAAATATCTGTAGATTCAAGGATGGACCTATCGTCGTTAGCCCGAGCTCTCACGGAGGACCACAGAAACTCCCAAGCAGGTAGAGTCACAGAGCAATATGACCGCAGGAGCGACACAGCATCCCCAGTCCGGCTATTTCCATGGCCTTCGTGTTTTCCCCGTCCCAAGGCCACTCCGTAGAGCCCTGCCATAGCTGGACTGGGGCAATGCATGCGGCATCGTACGAGGTTGATGGGCTCTTGGCCATGGGGGCGAATCTCATTCTCAACCAGAATCCCCAGTACCGCGCGTGAAGAGTGAAGCACAATTGAGCACGAACCGGAGCACTAAGTAGATATCTTGAAGAATCTGTTGCGTAAAATTAATATCAGCTCTCGTATTTACGTCTTCGTTCGAGAGATGGATCTGAATTCTACCTTGCGGTTGATGGATTAACCTGATAGCCTTGGGAAATAGCCCCATTAAACTTAAATGAGGCAGGAGTATCAGGTTCTGCAAAATGAGCCCCTACACACGAGATCAAAGAGAAATGGCTCGGTTTGACCAAAGCCCTCAGTGGAACTGCACCTTCCACCGAGCAATCCCAATAAGCCTGCATCCCATGCGTCCTTTTCCGCCCGTGGCGGGAGAGAGGAAAATGGTAGAATACGAGCAGTGACCTCATCTCATACACAGTCAGTGATTACATTCCATGCAATCGCGAGATACCTCCAAATGGAGAAGCCCAAGCCGCCCAGACTGAGGATACAGGAATCCCAATGCAGATGCGAGTGGGAGGGCTTGGCTCCCTTGGCGCTGGGCGCACGCACAGCCTCGGAGCTTTTTATAGCAGTCCTCGACCTTGGCAGCAGATAATCAAGATGCCAAGTCCAATACGAGGAACGGAGGGATCTGCTTCTGCAGGCCAAGCGTCCAGTTCCGCTGGCACGATTCTGGAGATGCTGGGTTCGAATCATGATACGAGGTTGCATCGTATTCACGTTCGCTTGTCGTCGGCTTCCTCTGGGGATGTCAAAATTAGCAATGGCAATGCAATGGCATCGAAGAACACGACATGGTCTATGTGATGAGGATGAAGGCTTCGGTCGAGGGGGGCTTCTGTGAGAGAGAAAAGGTATATAATACCCTTGACGTCCACGAGAAACGAGAGAAATCAACAGCAACTCAGCAGAAAAGCAAGCAAGCAAGAAAGCAAAGCAAGCAACAAGAAAGCTCCACAGCTCATTATCTTCAAAATGAAGTTCATCGTCGTCGTCAACGCTCTCATCGTGGCCCTCTGCAGCCACGTCGCCCTGGCCTCTACCATCGGCCACCCCTCCCTGATGCCCCGCGAGGATGCCCTCAGCGACAACAACAACAGTACCGTCTCCACTCCCTACGGCAACATTGTGAGCACCGTCCTCGAAGATGGCAAGAAGAAGATGGAGTTCTTCGATGTCGATGGCACCCTCGAAGTGACCGCCATCGAGACCGCTGATGGAAGTACGTCTTTGCCTCCCTCCACCACTCCTCTAGAGACACACGTAAACTAACACACCCAGCTGCTACCTTCTACGACGCCGAGGGCAAGGAAGTCAACCTTGCAGACATGGACGACGACGACGAAGACCTCGAGAAGCGCGTGCCCAAGTGGAAGCTCGCCATCAAGTTCGCCAAGCTGGTCGCCAAGTATGGCAAGCGGGCCTGGTCGTACATCTACTGTGTTGGTACTGCTCCGTTCTGGAAGTGCGGTGATGAGGTGAGTTACTCCTGCTCCGGGGGAAAGAAAGTGGCTGATGAGGTACCGTAGTTCCTTGACTGTGCTACTGCTGGCCGCGCTCCCTGGAACTGCTACGAGGGAGCTATCTGTGTTGGATGGAACATTCACAAGCACTGCAAGTAATTGCGTGCAGTGAACCTGAATCTTGGCTTGGCTTGATAAGAAGACAGTATTTGCGGGAGTGTTATCTGTTTCTGACTTGGCTTTGTGAATTTAGATGGATGGTGAAGCGTCATATAGAAGTTTAAGTTGATCTTGAATTGCTATTGCGTTGTCTGTCCTTCTTCTTGAACTCCCCCAGTAGCAGTATGGCTATGGCCTGCGGGGAAATGTCGGGGGTCATTCCCCCGAGCCATCAACCAGATAAATATCTCCTAAGCCTCGTCTCTGCATCAAATCTTTACATTCAATGTAAAGACAGTATGATCTCTCCCGATAAACAAAAGGTACCTCCCTCTGCTAATCCAAGAACCTAATACTAAATGTCCAGACCATAAACTCCCTCCAGTCCAACTGGATCTGGGCCCCAAATTGGATCGACTCCTCACCAGCCAACACAGCCGGTAAAATTGTCCGATTCACGCATAATGTATCACTTATTTCCTCCGCTACGCGAGCGCTCGTCCATTGCTCAGCGGATACACGCTACAAGCTATATGTCAATGGCGTGCGGGCAGCGGTGGGACCCGCCCGCGGCAGCCCTCTGATCTGGTACTATGACACGGTGGACATCGCGCCGTATCTGCGTGTAGGAGAAAACGAGATTGTCTTTGTTCTGGTGAGGTATTTCAATGCGTGCAGGGGCGCGATGCCTTTTGAGCGGACAGCGTTCCCTGGATTGACGGTTGTCGGGACGATTGAGACACAGACGGAGACGGTGGATGTGCAGTCGAGGGAAGGGTGGTTGGTGCAGGTGGATGAGAGTGTCCGGTTTCCAATGGGCCTGGTTGATGATATGTTTCTGCATGTAGGTCTCTGTGTCTTCTGCAGGAGAGTGTGGAAGAGGCTGATCAGGTAGATTAATGAGCGGATCACGCCCACTGTGTTGGAGGAGCCGGTTACGCCGATGGTGTACGGGATGAGGACGGCGAATGGCGATCTGTCGCCATGGCGTTTACGACCTCGCCAGATCCCCATGCCTGCAGAAAGTTCTGTGGGTGTTGCTCTTGTCAGAAAGTGCCAGAGTAACAACCACATCGACGAGTGGACGGGCTTTCTGAACGCAAAGCAGACACTGGCACTCGCCGCAAATTCCTCGCATGTGCTCGAAATCCAGGCAGATGTTCATTCGACTGCGTTCCTGCGGTGGTCTTTCCGGGCAGTACAGGCGTCTCGCATCACCCTCAAGATCACCTATTCCGAAGGATACGAGCAAGAGCCACGGTCCTACCCGTTCTTCCGTACAAAGGCCGATCGACTGGACGCGGAGAATGGACGCCTCATTGGGCCGTACGACGAGGTGACCTTTGATTTACCTGCGGGAGAGACGACCGTATACGAGCCGTTCTGGTTTCGCACGTTTAGACTGATCCGGCTTGAGATCGCCAGTGGGCCTGCACCGGTTGAGCTCTTGTCGTTCGGTGCTACCCAGGTCAATTATCCCATGGCAGTCAAGGCTAGCTGGCAAGAAGATGGTGGCCAGTACAGCGAGAGGATCTGGGAGGTCTCTATCCGCACGATGCGGAACTGCATGTTTGACGGGTACTCCGACTGTCCGTTCTACGAGCAACTCCAGTAAGCCACCCCTCCGCAAATTAAAGCTCAACTAACGTCCCAGATACTCTGGCGACAGCCGCTCCGTCGGTCTATTCCACTACCTGCTCTCCGGCGACGACCGTCTCATGCGACAGGCCATCACCAACTTCGCTGCCTCCGTCACCCCAGAAGGCCTCACCCAGTCCCGATTCCCGTCGCACGTCCCGCAGATTATCGCTGGCTTCTCCCTGTACTGGATCCTCCAAGTCTGCGATCACCGCCTCCACTTCGGTGACAGGGCCTACGCCCGCTCCTTCCTTCCCCGCATCGACGGCGTCCTCGAGTTCTTCCACGCCCACATCGACCCCCTCGGGCTGGTAAGCAACCTCCCAGACGACGTCTGGCAATACGTCGACTGGGTAACAACCTGGGGCGCAACAGACACCCATCCAGACAAAGGCGTTCCAACGTCGGGCCGCCAGTCAAACAGACACACCTTCTTCAGCCTCCTCTACGCCTACGTCCTCAACCAAGCCGCGCAGCTCCTCCACGACGTAGGCCGACCAGGCCACGCAGCCGAGTATACCGCGCGCGCGGAAGCTGTCCTCGCATCCGTCCGCAAGCACTGCTACGACGGGCGCTTCTTCACGGATTCCACGGCGGAGATCGCCGACGAGGGTGCCTACTCGCAGCACTGCCAGGTATTCGCTGTGTTAGCTGGTGCGGTGGCGGAGGACGACCGCGCGCGCCTGCTGACGGAGAGTTTTGCGGAGCCCGGCTTTGCGAAGTGCTCGTATGTGATGCAGTTTTATGCGCTGCGGGCGTTCTCGTTGGCGGGGGACGAGGCGTATGAGGCGTATTGGGGGAGGGTGTGGGATCCGTGGCGGCGGATGCTGGAGTGTAATTTGACGACGTGGGAGGAGGATAATGTGCGCCAGCGCTCGGATTGTCATGCTTGGGGGAGTGTGCCGATCTATGAGTATTGTACGGAGTTGGCGGGGGTGAGGATTGATCTGCCCGGGGCGACGAGGGTGTTGTTCAAGCCTAGGTTGAGGTTGAGTAAGGGCATCTCGGCGAGAGTGGCAGTGGGTAAGGAAAATGTCGCGACAGTGAGGTGGGAGACGGTCGATGGTGAAAAGAGGGTGGAGCTGAGGTTTGAGAGAGCCGTCGATGTGGTTTCTCAATTACCGGGGGAGAAGGCTGTTGAGCATGGAGTGGTGCAGTGTCTTTTCTTCACTTGGAAAGGCCACTAGGGTTTATATATATTGCTCCAGGAATTGAGGATAATGCAACTGTATTCATGCAGTCTAAGAATTTCACTGTCTAACCAGGTATCGGGCGTGAGACTAGCTACCAAGGTCTAATTCTAACCAGTTGAACCAGCAATTCAACATAAAGCGTGCCACTCTCCAGTCTTCACTATAGGTGAATAGCCACCACCTTAGCCGGCTCAATAAGCTTACCCAGAATGGGTGAAAACTGTCCCCCGCTGGTTGTGACATAAAGCACCGAACTATCTTTACTGCCAGCAACCGCAGTAGATCCACCAACAGCAGTCGTAAACTGATTCCCAGCCAGCAACCTGACTCTCCCCTTCGTATCAACCCTCACCAGTCCATTATCCGGGTTCGTCGTGACGTACGCCGTCCCATCACTCCCAACCACAAGATCATCCGGAGTAATCCCACTAGCGATAACCTCAACAGGACCCGTTGCCTCCGCCACACTATCCACCGGAACCCTACAGAACAACATCTGCGTGGTACTCGTGTAATAGACGTACCTCCCACGGACATCAATACCATTCACACCAACAGCATACGGCTGGCCCGCAGCAGGGAGCATCGTGGAATCAGACAGTGCCTGCGCGTATACACCCGACCTCATATCCAGCCGCCAGATCACGCCCTTGGCGGAGTCAGTGATGAGCAGCAGGTTCTGCCCGAACCGGACAATGCCATTCAGGAACTCGGCATCAGGGATTCGGGCCAGAATACTCGCTGAGGGTGCGGTGCCCGAGGCATCGAGTCTCCAGATCACGTAGGAGCCGGGGGTGCTTGTGACGGTGGAGATGGAGAAGTTGCCTGCGACTACCGCGTAGACGTCTCTGTCGATTTCGGTGATGCCGAGCAGACTAGTGGCGTTGGGGAAGGTGTAGAATAAGGCTCCGGCTTCTGCAGAGTTGGTGTTGGATGGGTCGATCAGCCATAGTTCGGGGGTGTCAAGGCGCGTGGCGAGGAGGTTGCCATTAGGGCGGACTGCGAGATTTTCGAGCCAGGTGCCGTTGCGAGTGAACTGGAAGACTGTAGATATAGATGAAGGGGTGGTTGTTGGAACCGTAGGCAATGCCAGTGTCGGAGTGATCAACGTGGTAATCAGGGTATAGACCCAAAGAATTTCTAAGCGGAAATACATAGTGAACAAACGTAGGTTTGCTTCTCTGCGGATAGCAGTAGGGTACGAGGAAGTGTTATGGCATGGATGAATGTCTACTCTTGCAGCTTATTTATACTTGACTTCTGCATCCAGATTAGGATTTGGTAAATGATTTACAGAACTTGAACGTCTATTTGACCATTTTCCTCCGATTCGATGTGTTGCTTCGATTGCTTCCAGATTCCGCTTTCTTGTCCATAACGCCTAGTATGAGATAGTCATTGGCTCGGGTTGGTTGAAAACTCCTGCTTCACGCAATGTCAGTATGGAATGTCCGAGCGAAACAAAGCTAAAGCTGACATTTGTCTTTGCGTATTCTTTGTCAGGATGAATAGCACTTACTGAATGTATGCATAGGAAGAAAAGATCACCAATCAGAAGTGTTGGTCTGAAGTTAGAAGTGCTTATCCTTCCATAATCATTGCTAGTTTATTATGTTATGAGCGCTAATTTCCGACTATCTAAATAGTAGTATTACACATATTATGCAACTCTTTGATGATTGTTGCTAAGCTTATGTGAAGCTGACCAATGACTGACATAACTTTAGCCCGAATTTATCAGGTAAGTTTATATTAGTATGGTCGTATCATTACTATGATGTTCTGGTATACAAAGCAGACTGTCATAGAAAGGGAGTCAGACCTAGTCTCCAGTATCTCCATGCATCAACCTCCTCTCATGACACGCACTACACCAACGGAAATACAAATTATGAACTGTAGATTGGGCATTATACCGTAGAGGCTGCTTATGAATGAAAACAGAGGGCATACACCATGCCAGGATCACTCGTCCTTGAGCCGACACAAATTAGGTAGCTCGACATCATCCCACAGTCCGCTTTGGTTTTCCCCAGGTCGTCCATATCATCCAGGTCCGCTGCAGATGGTCGCAAGCCAGCCAAAGCTTGAGCCGAGTCCTTCCCGTTCCGGCCTTCGTTCAGCAGCCAGACGAGACGACGGGTTTTTGAATCGGCCCGTTTCCCGGGCACTTAAGTCGTTTTTGGCAATATCTGGTCATCAAGTGAGACTAAAGATCACAATATACTCCACTGAAGCGCGCGAAACATGATCAATTAGTGCACTACTAGTTTGACTAGAGCAGAGCTTCGGAATAAAAACAACCGAAAAGGGTAAGTCTACCGAGTAAGAAAAATATCCATTTTGTTCTGCTCTACAGCATCTCCTAAGGAATTATATACTTCAGCGTGAGCTGGTTCTGGCCGGAAGATCAAGGGTTCAAACGGCCTTCCAGGATTGAGGTCGGATGTTTATACACCTTCAATAAGGAACGTTTTTGAAACTAAGTTCTGTACAAGCATGAACAGACGGCATGGGAATACGGCGAAATAGGCGTCTTGGATCAAGGGCCAGCCTTGCAGGCCCAAAGCGTCGGAAGACCCAGAAAGAGGCCCCTTGGTCCCTTTCACAGAAGTAAAAATTATCGTCGAGGGCTGTTCAACATGGCTGAGACTCAAGTGCCCAGTCCGTTAGCTTCCTCTCCTCATTTTCCTTCATCTTTTTCTGCACTATATCGTCTACCTCTTGCCTTTCTTCCGCAGTCAGTAATTGGAGACGATCGTCGAGATCCCCATCGCCATAGAATCTTCTGTCAATCTTCGCCCAATATATCATGTCGAAAGCCCAACTTCTCCTGGCTGCATAGTTAACCCAGAAATCTCCACTCTCCCAACTGTCCCTCATGTATGTAGAGAGACGGTGTTCTTCGGACAACAGCCCACGATCGATTGCCACCTCCTCTCTCTCTTCTAGTACCCTGAGAAAAGTCTCCAGGCGGGTCCCATAGACATTTGTCCAGTCATCCAGCCCTTCTGGCCAGTATTCAGGCAGCTCTAGCAAAAGCCAGAATGGGGCGCTGTAAGCGAATTCAAGTGGTGCTGCATAGGTATATTCCCAATCTATTGCCCCAACGACCTTGAATTCCGCATTTGTCAGAACATTTGCAGGACGGAAGTCGTCGCAAAATAGCTTGAACGGGCCCCGGTCGTTGTACTTGCAGAATCGACCCTCCCGTGCAAGTTTCCGGAACAGAAATCTTGCGATACACTTTGTTCTGCAGTCCTCGGGTGAGGCAACGGCGTCATTGCGCTGAGTAACCAGGTGGGCAATGTGCATATCAGCAAGGGCCCGGTAGTAGGATGACGATGTCGGAAAAGGACCATCAGGGAGGAGATGGGGAGGAAAGTTTCCCACTTGGACGAGTTCGTTCATGTTTAACGTCAATGGACGGTGTTTCACAACCCACACGTCATCAAAGTCATCATCCTCGTTGGCTCTGGCTATACAGCCGATTTTGGTGAATGTGTGCTTCGACAGCTGAAGCATGATATCGGCCATTTGACCGTAAGCAAAGATTAGCCGTTCCTCCGAGATCTGAGGATCTAAGATTGGTCGCTCATCATCTGGGATTCCCGGTGTATTGAGCGCGTCGACGAGGTCGTACTCGTGATCGATATACTCCATGATAATGAACGGCCCTAGTTCATCTGGACTCTCCTCGGCCATGCCATAATGAAGGATATGAGGAACTGGGATAGAGGTATGAAACTCGAGAAAACGCATCACGGAAACTTCTCGTTGGATTTTTTCTTCTGGAAACATCGACCTGCCGTAGCATGGGATTCGCATCACAGCTGAACCGCCATCGACAAACTTCAAACGCACCCAGACATTGAAAGCGCCTCGGCCAGGTGTAAGAAGAGTGTCAGGGACACCGCCTCTCCATTTATCGATCAGGTTTCCCACGGCGATTAGATTTTCCCGTTTCAGCAACTTCTCCTTTTTCCAGGTATCGAAACGCTTGTCACTCTGTTCCCATGCTACATCGTCGAAATCCATACACGTTTCAGTAAGAATGGGGGAAGTCATGATAGCAAAGCAGTGAGGGGTTGTAGGAGATGGAAACAGACGGATTAAGGCAATTTACAAACTGACGAGTTGATCCGCAGTTACCCAATCAGAGTCAGACACCCTGCAGATGATAAAAATGGCCTCCCGCCTTCTGAGCCTCTGCCTTTTCCTGGGCGCGGTAGGACATATTATGCATGGGCTTGTAGGCGAAGACAAAATCAAGAATTTGTTACTTTTAGCCCTATTGCATTACAGTATACCGCTGAAGAAGTGGTCTGACATATCCTTTTATATCAATATATCACCAGAGCCAGGGAGCAGTCCAGGACTATTGAAGCACCGTATCAATCGTTACTAATAGACGCATCAAAGTATCCTCTTGAGAGGTACACAAACTGGTATATTTCAGACTGCAGCCTTTGAACGAAACAATTTGACTCTACTAACACTCATCCAGGTTCCTCCTGTCTTCCGTCCATTCCTTTCACCGTCCACGTCTGACATATTGCGGAGAACCTGCACAAGGTAACCTTGCTCCTCCGCATGGTGTCTTTGACACTTGGAATCAACTCGTTTTAGAAAAGTGGCAGGGAAATATCAGACTTCAAACTCTCTGGACGAATTCTCCTTCATCGTCCTCAATGGAAACCGAAATAACCGAGTCCAGTTGGGAAAGAGCATGCATCAGACTATCTGGACCTCTCGAGCCATTCACCGTCAGATGAATGTCAAAGATCCGCTCGAGCCTCTCAATATGCGCCGCAGGTGTCTTTGGTGTCCTGGAGAAATTCGAAATCGATGCGTGTCTATCTCCCCCCGCAGGCCCTTTACTCGCGGCTTGATTAACAAGCACTTCTTCCAGTCGGGTTATCATCCGTACACGAAACCCTGCTTCCATGATATTAATGAGCAGGGTTTGCAACCCATCAGCTCCAGTCCGGTAGCGAACCACAGCCGAGATCTCCATGGTATCCTTCCGATCGAGGTATTGCCGCAGAACATGCAGCACAGTCGGATAAACGAGTACAGCAACGAAATACAACGCGGTGGCAACGCTCGCTAATCTGAGAAGCCCCGCGCCACAGGCAGCCCCTACCGCGGCGCTCAGCCAAACACCAGCGGCAGTTGTCAGCCCTCGGATCTCATTGCGCTGCTTGAAGATGATCCCTCCACCTATAAATCCAATCCCTGACACGATCTGGGCCGCGATCCGGCTTGGATCCAGCACGACCAGGCCGCGGGCCAGGACGTCAAAGGACCCCAGTTTCGAGATCAGCATGAACAGGGCTGCGCCTATCCCTACTAGTGTATTCGTGCGCAACCCTGCGCTTTTGTGTTTCCATTCTCGTTCAATTCCGATGATGGATGACAGTGCTGTGGCTACTAGTAGCTGTCCTATCTGTGTCCATGTCTCCTGGTCACCTTGATCAAAGGGGTAGCGCATCTTGCATATCCGTCAATGTTCTGTTTCACCCAAGCTAGGAAGGATAATCAAAGTTTGTATGGGTTACCGACATTATCCTGAGTAAAAGGCACTGTGCTCTTCAAGTTTTACCCTGTGAGTGACGTTGCTGGGGTTTATGTGTCCGGATCCGAAACTAATATCAATTACCACAATATAAACTGGTCACCCTGACGTAACCAGAAAGTACTGTATCGATCGTGGACGCATGTGCTTTATATAGACGTCTTGAGGCTGGCAGGCTCCGATCCAGAGTCGGAGAACATTACGTCAGGATTATATGGTACTCGGGAGCAATCAAATGGAACCCGAGTCACTTATGTTCCGAGAACTATAAACCATGAGATCCTCGGTTTGTCCCGCATTTGCGCTCGTAGCGACGTCATGCGAAATGTCAATGCTTTGGCAAGCTCAAGCTTTGTCTGTTAGCCCGGTCGTTCGGCTCTCGGAGGCTTGTTTAGAGCTCCACTACAGAGTGGGACATAGTCGAGCATAGTGAAGAGTTTATTAGCTCTCGGGTGGGTCATAACGAATACTCAGACATCAATAGTCTTGATATAGCCGGTAACGAATGTTCCACGACAACTTCTATATGCAAGTCAAAGATGGAGCTAGTTCGTTGCCGAGGAGCCAAATCGCAAAAACAATGCCTAGCACCCTATCGATGTACTCGGGTACTGGCCAAAGAGATTTATATTATAAGTAATTAGTTCAGTACAATGACCAGCCATAACGAAATATCACTCAGATAACCCTGATGAGTTCAACGAAACCGACAGTCCGCCTCATATTCTCGAGATGACGAATTATTCGCAGATAAGATATCTAACGGTATAAGCTCATAAGTCACAATATACATAAGAAGACAGTTACCTAAGCTCCAGTAGCACAAGTATCACCATTCGGAGGGTTAGTACAACCCAGATAGCAGAATGTACTTAGTTGAATGCCACCACTCGAATCTTTGCATCGGAAGAGGGCATCTTCGGGTTTAACAAAGGCGTCCACATTGCCCATGATAGCCGATGCGAGCTCCATAGATGAGTATCCTATTGAGTGTAGTTAGCAAGAGGACGAGACAGCTTTCCCTGTGATTCAACAGGTGTGTACGTACCATTATACTTCTCCAAAGTGGAGCCACAGTATAGCAGACCCTGTCTGCATGCATCCGAAAAGGACAGGGCACCAGGAAGTAAGCTAGCGCAAGCGAGAAGAGCGACGGGCAGCTTCATGGTGCGGTGGAGTAAACAGTAGCCTAGGATTTGATTATCGTATAGCAATTGAGTGAGACATGAGTGAGACATGAAAACTGGGTCTAGTCCCATCGCTCTTATACCCGCTAGGTTTGCGGCCTTTCGAACACTATTGTCCGCAAGGGATGCATTCCAGAGCGGAGCCAGAAATGTCTTCTTTGCCGACGGGCCAGTGGAGTTACACGGAATGTTCCGAGACATGAGAATGCTACTCCTGTACACATCCAAAGAGACAGCTGGTTGTTCCTGTGGGGGCTGGGGCATACAACAGTCAATCCAGATGAGCCAACCACCTGCATACTCTCCCAACTTTTGTGCCGTGCTAATTCTACTATAATTCACTATTCAGATAAGGAGGGGTCTCAAACACTGCCTCGTTGAAACACGGCCATGTCTCAACTCTTCAACGGCCTTACTATGAAGCATTGGCATACTTCGCTGGCTATCGATCCGGCCGTCTAGACCCTAAGACGTCCAGTAATAATGCTCGAATCTCGTCTGGACCATATTTCCAGACAATAAGCACTCTGTCGATTAGCCCGGTACCTGTCACGAAATTTCTGCTCCCTTGGACATCCCTTGACCTGCTCGCAGATATTGGAGGCGTCTAGTCCAGACGGTTCTCTCAACAGGGCAGCCAGGCTCAGGAGAGGGAATCACAAGATCGGATGTCTCTAACTACATTAACCTTCGCGCGGAGGTCGTCTGATTCTTGGATAAAGGAGGATGATCTCTTTACTAAATCGGAAACGTATCGAACTTTGGACTAAAATTATCGGATCAGCCGTGCCTTCTTAACTATTACGCCTTCTTTCACATCCACAATGGCCACTATCTGGCACATTCAGAATATTAATTAAAGAAGGGGTTGATGGTGCCAGTGCAGGAATGAGACACAGAATACATGCATGGATATTAGGATTCCTCCCAACATACTGTATAAGGTGATTCAATAGCCCTCTTTTTCTACATTATTCTGTCAAAATTCTCGGGACTACTAAACAAGTAAAGCATGTATGCAACTAGAGGCTAGCATCGACTTCATGGTTGCATATCTATATCGCCTCACCTGCCATACCAAACCTCGACATACCTAATCAATGTTATTTGACAGGTCACCCACGGGAACCGTCCATTAGATATTTTAAGAGTAGATAGCCTTAATGTTATGTTAGTGCTCCATGAATTATTAGCGCCATCCCTACTTTCGTGTTTAATAAGCAAAACAGGCTGGAATCGTAGCCCGAGCCAATTTGAGCTCCTACCCATAGGCCTTGCCAACTCATAGCAGCTTTAGGGTGGACTGAACGCGTTAATAGGGCCAGTTACTTATACTATATGAGCAGATGGATAGGCTAGACAACTTCAGACTATACCACAATCGTTTGATTACTATCGTTTACCATATAGCTAATTTAGCTGAGAGTGGATGAGAGGAGTTAAGCGCTGCCTTGCACCATCCATCGGTCGAGGATTTGGCATGAGGCCAATGATCAGGAGGCCAGGAAAGCAAGAATCCAGTCAGCGATTTCGCTGAAGCAGCGTGATCATGCGTTACCCTGGGCAGACAATGCTCGGCTCCTTGTATCATCACTCAAGGGAGGAGCTGCCGGATAGTGTTCCTTGTGCCATGCTGCCGCCTCATTCCCTGCAATACGTCCAAAAATCACGCACTCCAGAAGAGACGACCCTCCCAGACGGTTCTGGCCGTGGACACCACCGGTCACCTCCCCTGCAGCCCAAAGGCCTTCTATCGGGGTCCCTTCTGCTCCTATGACCCTGCTATGCTCATCTATCACCACCCCTCCCATCGTGAAATGAATGACGGGCGTCACCTGTCCGACATAAACCTCGTACTCCGGCATAACTTCAGTCAATTTCCAATGGCCAAATGACTTACGGCCGAATGGATCCTTTTTCAGGCCGGACACAACATCGCCATACTCCTGGAGGGTCTTCATCGCCGGTAGGTCAAGCTCACCGACAGTCACTTTCTGCATGAGTCCCTTCCCGACGTAAAAGTCCATATGGGAGCCAGCTGCCGCTGCGGAACTCTCATCAAGTACTAGCGTCACATCCCACTGGCGCGTAGACGTCTCCATCCGAGAGGTCGACTGCACAATGGCATCAACGACATGCTGGCGGGTCTCCAGCTCATTCACGAACCGGCTTCCATCGCTATTGAGCAGAATTCCACCCTCACCGCGGAGCATCTCAGCCGCCAGGATCTTGACCAACGCAGCCGGATCCTTGGGGTCCACAAACCCAGTCGGATGAACCTGCACGCAGTCCATATCCACCAACGAGGCACCCACCGCCTCGAGAATCGGCTGCGTGCCTTCCCTCGCCTCATTCGTCGACGGGAAATTGGCCAGATCAGGCCGATACCGCGCCAGCATACCTCTGGAATCGCCCGCAAACCCGCCCGTAGCGAAGATAACTGGTCCATTGACCGTGTGATTCTGTGTCCCCCCCTCGACAGTAACATACTCCACCCCCTTAACGCACTCCCCCTCCTTTACCACCCGCGTAACCCTCGCCCCGCTCCGCAAGGTAAACAGCTCCTCCGTCTTCAACTCCCGAAGCAACGACCCCACGATCGAAAAGCCAGGCGGATCCCGCCCCGCCCCCCGATGCGTTCGCGGGAAGCTATGTCCCCCCAACGGCGCGACTCTACTCAGGTCCACGCCCTTCTCGTCAACGAGCCAGTGCACCGCGTCCGCGGAGCGAGACGCAAGCGTGGAAATCAGCTTCTCCCGCCGGACGCGCTCGTCGCTACTTGCCTGGGTGAATGCCTCGCCGGCGGACCTGAGCGTGTCCTGGAAGAAGATATCTGCGTTGTCGTCGCAGTCTTGGAATCTTGTTCCGGCGCCGTTGATTCCTGAAGAAGCTTTAATGGAATTGCCGCCTGGTTTGGGGGCGCGGTCGAGCATCTGGACCGGGATGTGGTGCGAGATGAGGGTGCTGGCGGCGGAGAGGCCGGCTAGGCCGGAGCCGACAATTATTACCGGTGGTGGAGTTGCCATTTCTTCTTTTTCGCTGAATAGAGTTCGGAAGGTTGTTTTGGGGCGTGTGTATGGTTATAACGTGTCAGGGGTATGGGGCATGGTGATCAGGCAATGGTGGGCTGATCGTTATGTGATGCTATGAGCCTATGACGCTGACATCACGCAGCAATAATTTTGTGCTATCAGCCTACTTCACCTACATTGACAACGCTAACGTGGACAGACCTCGAGCGGAAGATAATTGTGGAATTCGTCTCAATCGTATGATATTTCTGCCGACTAGATTATCTGCCGCGAAAGCTCAGAATGCCGAACAGGTAGGCTGAACGCCGCCATCAAGGATAGGCGGGACTATACATGTTCCACCACTAATATGTATCAGTACGACAAATTAAATTGGGGAATAAGACATGCTCAAGGTATAGGCAACATTGCAGTCCTCAGAAGGGAGTAGGGATTTCTTGCCTCGAAGTAGGACCCAGCTTCTGCTATGCATGGCAGAAGCTGGTAGGAGCAGTGTGGACGCCAGTAGTCTCCATTCAAACATAGGCAGCGGTATGGAGCCTCAGATATCGGCGGTAGCTTGAACGACTATTATCTCGGATGATCATGTCGGGACGGTCACAGTCTGTTAACTGGACATATGTGTCACTTCGATATCCCACAAACTATTTCCAGACTCTTTGATCCCAAGACACTGTCACCAGATCGCAAGATCTATGACCTGATAAACGTGCGAGTGTTGTGCAGACAGCTGCCGCTCTTCGCATCCAAAGCGCACATCTATCAACTTCGGCAATCTCTAGTCAGTTTATGACTGATTAACGCATGCCTTGCAGGTCATGACCCGACTAACAGTAAATAGACACAAGGAGTGTCACAGGCGTCAAATAAACAAAGCAGAACACAACGGTAAAGTTCAACTCCGTCTACTGAAGAGAACAGGTGATGGAGTTAATTATGCTGGTCTTCATAGTCGGGGATATGTCCGAGTACTCCATGAAAGCTTTGATATCTTGATACCTCCATTATATCAGTTGCGTCATTGATAATTACTTGGTTAATAAGTTGGCACATATCAACCAATAACTTCAATTTACAACTGATCTCCATACGCACTTCTTTGGGCATACGGAGTCCCTCTCCTGGACGTGCCCACAACAGCTAAACCGCCGAGACTGCCCATAGCGCAAAGGCCTCTCAAGAATTGAATTAGACTCTCCCATTCGAGGCTTATTACCCCGCGCGGAGACACCCCACAGGAGCCAAACGCAACGAATTAGCCTTCTGTCGGGGAACTCGGACGGAAGCCGGCCCATCTCCACCGGACAACGGGGTATTTAGCCTACCCCTCGTCCGGACTGTGGACTCTAGGGCAAGATTACTGAAACAGACACCGAAAGCAGCAACAGAATGGAAGCCGAGGTATCAGTGCAAGAGGATCGTCCTGCCTGTCGCGCTTGTCGAAAGAGGAAACTCCGCTGCTCGCGCGAAGTCCCGCTCTGCGCGCATTGCCGGAGAATTGGTACTTCCCTTGTCCCTAGGCTGCTTGGAAGCTCACGTGCTAAGGGGTATAGGGACGACGTGTGAGTATGATGGGGAAAGAGAGAAACCGGGTCTCAAGGCTGGAGCTGTCGAGGCACTGAGGAGACGGGTTGGTAGGTAATTTCTTGACTTGCAGGTCCCATCTGACGGCAGTAGAGGCGCTCGAGGATGCGGTGTTCCATCAGGAACGACCACAAGAGCATAGGCTGGTATCTGATAGCACTGCGGTGGCTACTGCGCTACGAGAGGGTATGGAGATGCTCCTCGGGCAACTGCAGCAGCCTCATACCCATAAACGGCCATGCGAGGACCTGGTGCCTGATGTACCACGTTCACCATGCAATAAACGGAGACGGGTCAATGATACCCTGATTGGACCGGATGAGTTCTCCGATCTTTCGTCGAGTCTACCTCCACCAGCCGTGTTAGAGGCCGTGGTTGACTCATACTTCGCGCTTGTACAGCCATGGATCCCGATCTTCCACGAAAAGAGATTCCGACGGCGGCTGAGGGGCGCTGACAGCTCTCGTCTGGAGGTCGTTCTGCATTCGATGGTGGTTGCGATGCTCAAGCATGTCGACCAATCTGTGCTTCCGGCAGATCTCAAAGATATCGAAGCCGTGTGTGAACGATCCCGGAAGATTGTTGTCCTGACAGCAATGGATGACCTCTACGTGGAGAACTTGCAGGCCTTGATTATTATCTGCTTTGAGGATGTATGATTCATTCATTCATTCCCTACACTACTTTCGGAAACTGACTGTTTAGATTGGATCCGGGAGAGTTTCTCGAGCGTGGCCGATCGTCGGTTCCTTGACGAGAACGGTGGAGTACCTCCAATTGAGCGTGGAGTCCGAGAACCACGATACAGGACGAGTCTTGCAGCCTCGACCTTCCCTTCCGGTAGCTGCAGACTGGGTAGAGGAGGAAGAACGACGGCGTGTTTTTTGGACTGTTTTCAACTTGGATAGGTATGTCCTCATCTTCTCTGTTTCACCAACACTAACATCACAGATTTTGCTCCGTGACTACAGGGTATGTCTGCCAGATGCCGGATGTATAGAATGCAGCTGAGAATACAGGTGGAACACGAGCCTCACCTCCAACGACGTCCACCGCCGTCTCCCCGCAGACGGGGGCCTCTGGCACAACGAAGAACCCGTTACAACCCCCTTCTTCGGCATCTGGGACCGCTCCGCTGGTAAGATCGGCACCCTAATCGCCTTCCTACCTACAGACAAACCGTCGCCCACCGCGCAAGTCGACATGTCAACCGTAGGCGCCTTCGCCTACCGCGTCGAGGCCACCGAGTCGTTAAGCCGAGTAACGACCTTCTTCCTCCAGCAACGAATTAACCACCGCGACCGCCAGGAGATGGGAAGCTGGCTGATGCGGTTCAAGGAGCTGGATCTCCGCCTGGTCAGCTGGAAGATGTTCCTCCCGCAGAAATGGAAGGACACGAATATCTCGCGGCAGCCGACGGTCGTGACGATGGATCCAAATCTGACGCTGGCGCATATCACGCACAACACGTCGATGATCCTGCTGCATCAGCGGATTGCGTATCCGCCGCCGGATTGGTTGGAGGTGGTGAAGTTGCCGACCCTGAGCAGCGCGGAGACGTGCGAGGCGGCGGCGGCCGAGACGGCGAATATCACGGAGAAGTATCTGGGGAATTGTCCGAGGGAGGGGGTCGTGGATAGTCAGTTTGCATTTTGTGTGTTTGTCAGTGCCAGGGTTTTACTTGGTGGGTTTCCTTCCTGTGAACATTACGTGAACTACTAACAGCGGACCCTGGAGTAGTGCACTGGCGGTATTATGGCACGCCCTTGTCGCCAGATTACTGGACACTGATGAAATGCCTCGATGCCATGGCCACACGCTGGTCTGGCCGTGTACAGACCAGTCGTCAGAACTCAGCGGCCCGGTATTTTGGCCAACTCAACGCCATCCACCGGGCGTGTCAAAGCGACGAGAACTTTAAGCTGGATGTCCTGGGATACTCCAACGAGATTGAATGGACGGGAGATAGCCAGAAAACAGCACCGGCAGCAGTACCAGCACCCGAAAGCACAACCGGATTGTCCCAGGTCGCCTTTCCTCCCGACCTACCGCCAATGCTGCAGTCTAGTCCGGCGAGGATGAGCTACAACACAGGCAGCCCGGATGAATTGACGACGGTGACCTCCATCCTGTTAGATCAACAGTACTCGGAGATGGACCGGATCATCAGTTTAAACAATGCGTATTTCGCATCAGATGTAGCCTATAGTACTTGACTAGTCACTAGGCATCTCCGAGACTTACCCCGAGCCCCGATAGATATACACCCCTCATCTCCGCATCTTAACAAAAGAATGATCATTTAAAAAAGATATAATCCTCAAACCTAGACTCTACAAGACAAGACAAAGATGCCACCCCTCTCCAACTTCAGCAACAACTCCCTCCGCATCCGCAACGATCTCATCCACGCCGCCCTCGCCCTCGTCCGCCCTCTGCACGCCCACTTCTCCCCCGCACACGCCTTCATCCGCCTCCCCATCTCAACAGGTGCCCACTTCGACGATGGCGCCGCCTTACTCGAGGGATTCGCCCGTCCACTCTGGGTAATCGCTACCCTCCTTCATTCCTTGCAATTCACCTCTGACCCCGCCACCGTCGAATCTATAAAGAATGTCACTCAACCCTGGATCAATGGCATCCGCGCCGGCACAGACCCTTCCCATCCAGAATACTGGGGCACCATCGCCAATGGCGACCAGCGCATGGTTGAAGCAGAGGTCCTCGCCTGCGCGCTACTTTTCGCGCCGGACGCCTTCTTTCACAGCCAGGATGAGACTACCCAGAAAAACATCGTTGCGTGGCTGCGTGGCATGCACGGGAAGGACATGCCGGTTAACAATTGGCGGTGGTTCCGCGTGTTTGTTAACCTAGCGCTTGTGCTTGTAGCGGGCGTCCCATATGATGAGATCCGACCAGAAATGGATGCTGATTTTGAGGTGCTGGATGGGTTTTATATTGGGGGTGGGTGGTCGGGTGATGGGCCGTGGTTATCCCCGGAAGAAGAGGTAAGGGAAAGGGAGGAGGGGATGCGCACCGGGCGATGGGATGCGATTGGCTGTGGAAGACAAGCGGATTACTATTCTGGGAGTTTTGCGATCCAGTTTAGTCAGTTGCTTTTTGTCAAGTTTGCGAGTCATTTGGACCCTGAGCGGGCGGAGAGATATCGCGCCCAGGCGAGGGAGTTTGGGGGCAGTTTCTGGCGGTATTTTGACAAGGACGGTACGTCTGGTTATATCTGGATAGATGTGAAGAGTTAAGCTGACTTGAGTAGGAGGTGCAATCCCGTTTGGACGCTCCCTGACGTATCGCTTTGCGTGCGGAGCGTTCTTTGCTGCACTGGCTGTCGCCGACATCCCTGACATGCCAGACCCACTGGCCTCCCTCGGCGCAGTCAAAGGCTTCCTTCTGAGACATTTACGCTGGTGGGCTGGTCACTCAACCGATATGTTCTATGCCGATGGGACAATGAACATCGGCTACTTGTATCCGTACGTCTCCCTCCCCCATAACTCCCAAATGTCACTAACAAATGCAGCAACATGTACATGGCCGAAGACTACAACTCCCCCCAATCAGTCTACTGGAGCCTCAAATCCCTCATCGTGCTCCTCCTACCGGACTTGCATCCCTTCTGGAGCACCCCAGAACCAGCCTACCCGTCTATCCAAACACCAGTGGAAATTGTATCTGCACCGCAACAGCTCCTCTGCAACCACCCATCTGGAGGCCACCACTTTCTCCTCAACCCCGCCCAATTCGTCGCCTGGCCGATGAAAGCCTCGCAGGCAAAATACTGCAAGTTCGCGTACTCGTCTGCGTTTGCGTTTAGCGTGCCTACGGGACCACTGATCCAGCAGCTCGCGCCAGATAGTACCCTTGCGCTGAGCCGGGATGGGTGCGCGTCTTGGGCTGTGAAGTGGAAGTGCTCGCCTGTGAGGTTTGGGGCTGCGGTCATACAGGGGCAGAATGACAAAGTCCCCGTGGCGGAGGTCGAGTGGAGGCCGTGGGTGGATGGGGAGGTCACGGTCAGGACTACGCTGGTCCCACCGACGGACCGGTGGCCGGATTGGCATGTTAGGATTCATCGGATCCGGGGCCGGAATCTGGAGAGGTTGTATGCGGTGGAAGGGGGGTTTGCGATTGAGCGGGTGCCGAGGGGGAATGTGAAGACGCCTGGTCGGGGGCGCATTCTTCCTGCACTTGATGGGGAGGATTGGTTGGATAAGGATATTGGGGTAGGTGAAGGGGTGCATGTTTCTGAAGATAGTGTGCTTATCCTGTCTGCGGCTGGGGCAAGTGGTCTTCGAGGGGTAGCTACTATGGCAAGGACGGAGCATGAGGCGCTGAAGCCGGACTCGAATACGAATCTCATGGCGCAGCGGACATTGATTCCTGTCGTGAGACATGGGCTGTTGGACGGTGACCGTCAGGAGGCGGTCCTGGTGACGGCTGTCTTTGCTGTTGCGACTACACAGGACCAGAGTCAGAGGAGTCTACGGGAGAGATGGATGGATTATCCACGGGAGGCCAATAGTATCATGCTGGAGTAGCTATCTGAAATACATAATCATTTATATCATACGAGAAACCATTCTATAGCAGCATTCTATATCAATCCCAGCTTCAACAACTGATTCCCAAACTCCAGCAGATAGTAATCCGCATACACAAGCCCATGGTCACTATACCGATCCAGATCCTTCGCATTATGGTTCGCCGTCGCATTGCGCAGAATCGCATCAAACCGTGTCCCAGACACATCCTCCACTTCCGTTCCTCCCTCCACAAGTCTCGCCTCCTCCCTCGAATACGAAAACTCCACCGTCTCACTCGCAATCCTCATCGCGGCCTGTCTAAACCGCCACGCCAGCCCGTCGTCCTCACCAACCAACGCCTGCGAGAGCAACAACATCCCATTCGCGGCAATCACACCAGCAGAGGAATCCCGTAACGGACTCGCCTCGTCGACAGGAGCATCAAAGTCCCACAGCGGCACGTACCTCCCAACCATCTTTCCATCCACCCTCTTCTCCACGCAAGGCGGCGCGCCCTCCAGTCTCGCTAGGAAGTACTCTGCCAGCCCAACAGCAACATCAAGGAACTGCCTGTCCCTTGTCCAGGCGTACGTCTGCGCATACCCGGTAATCGCCCACGCCTGGCCGCGCGCCCACGTCGAGTCCGCTGCGAACCCCTGCGCGGTGCGGCGCTCCTTGATCGCACCCGTCGAGGGGTCAAAATTGACGACGTGGATGGTGGAGTATCCCCCTTTCTCCTTTCCAGCTATAGTTTCCCGGCGGAGATGGGAGTTGATGAGTGTTTTCGCGTGCGCGGTCGCAATAGCCGCAAGCTCCGAACCCAGATGCGCAGCAGCATAGTAGAGAAGATCGAGGTTCATCATGCTGTCGATGATGACGAGGCAGTCAGTCTCTAGGGAAGTGATGTCCACGTCCGACTGGCGGAGGGCATCCCAGCTGCGGATTGCGCCAGTGGAGGGGACGAAGCGCGAGGCGAGGCTTTGGGCGCCTGTTAGTAGAGCGCGCAGACTGTTGGGATTGGAGGTGAGTTCCCAGGAGCGGCGGAGGGAGGGGGCCAGGATGAAGCCTAGGTCGTGGGTGTCTGTTCGGAGGGACATGGGGTAAATGGGGGCGGTCCATTTGGTGCAGAGCGTGAGGAGGTGGTCGCGCAGGCTGGCTGGGTCGAGGCTGTGAGGGTGTCCGAGGTATGGAAAGGTCGAGGGGTATCGGATGGCTCGTTCAAGGAGGACGTACAAGAGTCCTGGGAAGAAGCCGCAGGTCCAGAAGGAGGATTCGCGGAGAATGTAGCGGCCAGTCGAGGGGCCTTTCTGAGGAACGAATTCAGGATAGGCGGTTGGAGGGTCCTGAATGCCAGTATCAGTCAGTATTGTATTCGAATGATCTTCTGGCGGGTGATGGTACATTATTGTTTAATGCCTCGACGGCCACTCGGAGGATCTTGGCCAGCACACTTTCCGAGAAGATTTTCTCTAGAGGGAATCCATTGGACTGGATTTGGTGGTTAGCTATGTCTACAGTCATTTTGCAGCTTGTCAGGGTAAGAAATGTAGGATAGAAGCTACTCTGCGGGTGCTTCTGATGCTTATGACGCTTATCAATGCCACTATATCGTCGCTCGGAGGAATCATGCCCGAGCACATTCGCCCGCCCCGAAGCCATCAGAAACCCCAGAAAAGATCGACGGTCATCGGACGATTGATTCCAGAATTGGCCCGATGTTCCCCAGATTTTCTCCGCATCAGGTGGGTACATAAACCCATAAAGCTCTTACTGTCCGTGGACCAGCAATCCACCAGCAGTCAGCCAGACCGACAAGATGACTCCCCAAGATCGACAGGATAGACAAGGAGAGGACAACTTTGAAGGCCTCACTCTCAAAGATGTCACTCCCAAACGCCCTCCCTTCTACAGGGATTGGACCCTCCTCAAACTCAACACCCTCCTGCTGTGTGCCCTGCTCACGCAAATCGCCTCCGGATACGACAGCAGCATGCTCAATGGCATGCAGGCCCTGCCCCAATGGAACAAATACTTTGGCAAACCAACAGGCACACGTCTCGGCGCCATGTCCTTTGGTCCAACCGGTGGCACGCTGATCTCCGTGCTCATCTCCTCGCAGCTCTGTGAGCGCTTCGGCCGCCGATACCCCATCTGCGGTGGCTCGCTCATCATCATCCTGGGCTCGATCATCCAAGCCGCAGCCGTCAACTACGGCATGTTCGTGGTCTCGCGATTCTTCGTCGGCTTCGGGCTGGGCATCGTCGCTACAGCCGCCCCGCCTCTCCTGACCGAAGTCGCCTACCCCTCCCAGCGAGGCAAGCTCGTCTCCTTCTATCTAACCACCTGGTCACTGGGCTCCCTCATCGCCGCCTGGATCACCTACGGCACCTTCAAAATGACCGACTCCAGCTGGAGCTGGCGCATCCCCAGCCTCCTACAATGCTTCTTCTCCCTCATCCAAGCCGTGCTCAGCCTCTTCGCCCCGGAATCCCCCCGCTGGCTCATCTACAACGGCCGCCGCGAAGAAGCCCTTGCCATGCTGGCCAAATACCACGCCGACGGGGACGCCTCCTCCCGCCTCGTCCGCTTCGAAATGGCCGAAATCACCGCCACGCTGGAAATGGAGAAGATGCAGCGCGCCTCCCGCTGGACCGAGTGGGTGGCTACCCGGGGGAACAAGCACCGCCTGTTTTTGGCGCTCTATATCCCTGCAATGCTACAGTGGGCCGGCAACGGGCTTACCTCGTACTACCTCTCCAAAGTCCTCAACACCATCAACATGACGAACCCACACACCCAGCTCATCATCAACGCCTGCCTATCCGTCTGGTCGTTCCTGACGGCTGCCTTCTTCGCGACGCTAGTCGACCGCGCAGGTCGCCGCAGGCTCTTCCTCTGCGGGATGGGCGGGATGGGCGTCTCCTACGTCATCTGGACTGTCTGCTCGGCGCTGAACGAAGAACACAACTTCAAGAATAAGGGATATGCGGCGGGCGTGCTAGTCATGATCTTCATGTTCAGCGCAGCGTACCATGCGTGTTCGCCCGTCGCGCCGACGTACATCATGGAAGTCGTGCCGTACTCGCTGCGCGCGAAGGCGAGCATGATGTACCAGCTGACAGGCAACCTAGCGGGAATCTACAACTCGTTTGCGAACCCCGTGGCGATGGATGCGATTTCGTGGCGGTATTATATCGTCTGGTGCTGTGTGATTTGCGTGCACTTTGTGTTGATCTTTTTCTTCTTCCCGGAGACCAAGGGCAAGGGGTTGGAGGAGGTGGCCGAGATTTTCGACGGGCCGGATGCGCTTTCTGGGGTTAATGCTATGAGACAGATGGGGTTGGATGTGCATGCTGACAAGGCGGTTGCTGTTAAGGGTGGAGGTGCAAATGCGCATGTTGAGCGGGTTGAGGCTTAGCAGATTATATCCATTTGATGCAATACCATACCAAGTTCTCCAGCTACAGTCAAACTAGTAACGCATCTCGTGCTACTGAACATAAAATAGCTATCGCTTCTTAAGAAGGCTCCGTCGAGAGTGACCTTTATTGAGCTTACCCACAGGCTGGTTCCAGCCCTTAACACCTAACCTTGAACTTCCTTAACTTATTATGCTTACCCATACAAAAGCCGCTTCCGAATCTTATGTAACTTCCCCTGGACGCCACAGAGTCGGTCCTGAAGACGTGTGCGGTGGCGGCAGCCTTCCAAGACAGCGGTTAAGCTGTTAGCTGCCCATGTCCACTACGTACTATTCCAGCGTTGGCATGTTATTTGGCAGATGAACAAGATACTGTAACGGTTAGTATATGTGAGTTGCTATAATCCTTCTGAATCTCAAGTCCGCTCTGCTCTATTTGACAATTCTGCCGATGACAACCAAATCCGAAAGCTTCCTCAGTATGAGTACCGGAAATCCATTTAAACTGTGTGGCTTATAGTGATCAGGTCAGCCATAGTGAGTACAGTATTACAGGACTACGAACTCTGTACTGTCCTAATAAAAGGGTTGTTGAATCAAGACCATGACAGGCAAACGGCGGCAATGTGGCAGGGAGGTTTTTGGAGTCAAAAACGTCAAAGGCACGTCAAAGTCTACGTACTATATGCGGGCTCCAATCAGGGGCAGCCACGCATTTACCCTGCTGTAAGACAGGGAATATATCAAGACCCCAAGCCAAGGGCCACTTCGAACTCCCAGGTGCATCGTCCACGATTCTCTGCCTTGATTCTTCTCCCTTTCTCTTTCCCCGGCAAAGACCTTCATGTTCTAGTTTATTTCTAGCCACTATGGATCGAGTAACTCATATCATTGATCCACATGGCGAAGTGGTGATAATATTGCGCAATGCAGATTCTCCTTTTGCGGAACCAGATGAAGATATGGTTGCCAGCATTGGCGATTCTGTGCAGGATCCTACAGAGAAAACTGAAACTTCGCCGAACCATATGGCAAATTCAATGCAGTCTAAGAAAAGAAAAAAGAAGAAGAATTTATGTAGCGCCTTTTGGACTTCTTTTGAGCCCACTCCACTGCCAGTAGAACAGTCCGCCCCAGCGCCTGCCGAAGGACAACCTGCCGAAGAGCAACCTGCTGAAGATCCAATCGAAATCGGACGTGAAACGCAGGACGAGAGTTGCTTCCGCATCCAAGTCTCTGCAAAGCATTTAATGCTTGCCTCTTCAGTTTTCAAGAAAATACTCACTGGCGGCTGGAAGGAAAGTGTTGCTTATCTGCAAAAAGGCTCAGTCGAGATTACTGTAGAGAGCTGGGACATCAAAGCGCTCTTGATCCTACTCTGTGCTATTTATAGCCAACACTACCGTATACCGCGAACGTTGACTCTTGAGATGCTTGCTAAGGTGACTGTCCTAGCCGACTACTATGACTGTAAGGAAGCCATGTGCGTTTGGATGACTATCTGGATCGACGCTCTGGAAGAAAGGATCCCCTCGACATATTCTCGAGATTTATTTCAGTGGTTATGGATCTCCTGGTTTTTCAAACTCCCAAACCAGTTCAAACAGGTAACATCGACTGCCATGTCACGGAGTAATGGTTGGATTAACAACGGTCTGGGGCTTCCGATACCTGATAAAGTCATAAGTAAGGCTCGACGAACTCCAAATGTGCTCAGTCACTAATGGAACGCAGACGCAATGAATGACCGCAGACAGGAAGCTGTCAATAACTTGATCCAGGTCCTTCATGAGACACGCGAGGCTCTCCTAAGCGGCACTCGGGGGTGTGGCTTTGAGTGCAGCTCAATCATGTATGGAGCTCTTTCCAAGGAGATGCACTCAAATGATCTGCTTTCGTCAACGCCTGTGGCTCGTTTCCCAAACTTGAATTATACATCCCTCGTGCGGAAGATATCGTCGTTCGCATCACCTCGGTGGAATGACTTATACTGGGGGCTATCCAAGCTATGGTTCCAGCAACTGCCACAATTGTCCTGACTCCTCCTTCACATCCCTGTTCGGGAAGTTAAACCATGCAATTGAAGGTTTAGACCTAGGTAACCTTTCGTCCTAGGGAGATATGGTACCTCTCCATGTGATTAGGATTTCGCTTACTGAAAGAATAAGGTCTCGGCCAGTTGTTGGTTGAACCACCATAGCTAGACTTGCCACTATATTCTATAGCGCCTTGTAACTAGATTTTTGATATAATACCTGTAGGACTAGACTCCCTGCGAGCTTCTATACCCATCACTGGCTGGAATTTCTAGCAATGGCGGAACGGGAAGTTCAGGTTTCACCCAAGCTCTGTGACGCCATCCCAATGGACATTAGGTGCGCGCTAAGCCGCGGTGCTCAGCGTTATGCAAAGTCTATCAAGGCTTTCTAGTAGAGGCTGCATCGATATACCTTGTCCTTCGCTATATATTTGTCAGCAACTTGATTGTTGCGATGGCCTACAAAGAGGAGGTTTCATGAGATCCGTGTCAGCTGGGGGACATGATCCTCTTAAGTGTGTCGAAAGTAGCTATAGTTATATGGAAGCTGAATGAACTAATCAAGCGCACTGCAGAAATTAAACACTCTCACTAGAATACAAGAGCCAACTTTTGCAGAAGTGAACTACTCTCAGCCCAAAAGCCAAGACATCAATGATACGTAATCTTCGTCTCCGTCGACAAGATAATCCCCTCCTGGCTCTCGCTCTTCCCATTCGGCCGCACATTGACACTCTCGACGTCGTCCTCGCGAGGATTCTGCGTCCCCCCCACCGTCGTGAGGTAATCCCAGTTCCGGATGCCCTTCTTCTTCTTGGATCCGGCCTCGTGCAGGGTATAGCTATCGTCGGTGTGCTTATCCGCGCCAGAGTTCTTGCTTCCTGCTAACCGGGGGAAGATGCGTAGCAGCAGTGGCCGGAGGACGGGTAGACAGGCGCAGATGATGCCCACGTTGATTTCGACCATTCTTCAGTTCATTAGCATACCGCCCAAAAAGCGGGAAGGAAAATAAGGGGAAAGACATACGCCCACTTAGCCAGCGTGACCTTATACCATGTAAAATCCATCGAATGCACAAACGGCATCATCGTCACAATCCGCACAATGGCAATCACGCACGCAAAGGAACCCATCGCCAGCACCAAGCACAGCAGAACCTTCTGCTTCAGCGTTGTCTGCAGCGACCAGCACAGCTTGATCGGCAGGATGAGCGTCATCAAATCAGAGAGCAAGTTGAACGCCGCGTTGGCGTATACGAACGCCAGCTGGTCGACGCACTTGGCTGTGGCCATTTGCGCCATGTCCCACATGGCTGTCACGGGGATGCAGCCGCAGGTGAAGACAAGGATGCTGATGAGGGAGTAGATGAAGACGAACGCCATGATGCCGTAGGTCCATTGGCGGAAGCGGCGCTCAGGGTTGAGGCGGAGGTAGAAGAGGAGGATGGAGGTCTTCACAAACCAGATGCCGAGGGCGAAGATGTCTTCTGCGGCCAGGTCGTTCTATTTTTGTCAGCTGCGCTCTGGAGAGTATGGAGTTGAGCAAGGTACCTGTTCAAAAGGCTTGAGTTTGACCAGGTACAAGTCCCAGATGTGCACGCCGTAGCCGTTTTGGATGTCTACTTCGTTAGATTTTGTCATGCTATAAAGGAGAAAACATACTGGCAAACCCGAGGATGGCAAAGATCCATGCGCAGACCTGCGCCGCAATACAGAACCCTACTCTGTCAGCATCATTTACCATCGGCGAAACATGGACATACAATCGTCAATAGCAACCGTCCGGAGGATTACGCCTCGCGTGTACATCCGCAGCCCAAGCACAAACGTGGCTGTCAGACACATCGCGATGTTGACCGAGTAGACGTCATAATCGGACCGGTCTGGGTTCTCGAAATTGGGCGTCACGCCCGGTGGGGGAGGGAAGGCGGGCGTCTTGCTTGGATCCATGGCGGTTGCGTCAACGAATTGACAAGATTAGACGGATAAAGCTGCGATGTGTAGGTTTGCCTGGCTGAGGAGCTTGATTCGGGAGGCTTTCCGGTTTATATGCTTGGACTTGAGCCCCTTGACTCCTTTGTGCTCGACAAAGTACGATCGACCGAAAGTGATATATCTCATGTTTGTCTCTGTGTTTTAATTGTTGACTAGACCTATGGAGCTATCCATAGTCCATATGACGACATCTCAGACGCATCGACCACTGTTAATATCTCCACTGCTACGAATACCTAGTCTAGCTCCTGCTAACCGATCCACCTGTAACGGATATAGAGAGAGCTGTCAGATTCACGCCGATCTTCGTATCCTAAGACACTCGGACAACGTTGTTTTGCTTCTTCAAGCGCGTGACAATCCTATTCCTCCTGACGGCATAGGAGCTACTCGCGATGGCGATCCTGTGAGTGCAGCGGCACTATTCATTGCCCTTGCAGCCGAACCATAACCGAGTGCCTATCCCAGCCAGGTGAGTGGCTCAATATGAAGTATTGATAATTCGGAACGCATCCGCGACTCAATTCTTAGTTCTCCGATCTTGCCTGCATTATCTACGTATCTACTTTGTGGAGACAATGTTTGCGCGGAGGACCCGGTCCGGCGGGTTGGGTAGTATCCGGAATGAACCCAGTAGGCTAAGTGCAGTGACCTGTAGATTTACTGAGTGGGAGACAATATATATCGATTGTCTCCCTTACCTAGTGCCTACGAAGCAGTGGAAATTAACAGTGGATTGGGCATTCAACGTGCAAGTCTTGGACCCGTTTTGTCTACGGCGTAGGCAAGTAGCGTGGATATGGCGTTGTGGCTGTTTTACAATAGCATTGCTTTTTAAACATACATACTCCGTAATACTGCTATTGTCGCTGTCTGTCAGCAGCCAGTAAATGCCAGTTTCTCTGCAGGATCATCATCGACGGCCCTTTTACTCCATCAGGGAGATTAGTCTATGTGACGGCTCACATAGATCGTTCCGGCCATAAAGCAATATGTTCAAAGCAATATATGACAGAGTCAAATCTCGCTTGGACCAGCTGATCATTGAATATCCTCCTATCAGAACAGGGACATGGTTGAAGAAACTCTCGGGGAGTCCCAGGCAAGTGTCCCAGCGGAGAATAAACTCATCTAATTCTGCAGCTAAGTGCGCCGCGCGCCATCCCCGGCCAATGAAGCCCATCGCAGCGTCGAGCACAGACAGAGCAGCGGGGAGAAGGAGGAGCCGATTGTGATGCATCACATTAGGGACGGAAGCATCCCTGATGATTGGCCGAGGGAGAACTGAAGCCATTCCCCGCTTATACTCGTCAATATTATAAGAAGTCCCGCTGCACCGGGTTGTCTCAGATGATCTGTAACAAATTCTGCAGGCAAGACAGGGATTGAGCTTGCATATTTCATTATGGGCAGCATCGAGAACAACATCGACGCCATCCAGAAAGATCTGGACGAGGTTGTCAATGCCACCAATACATACAAGACCTCAGACAATGATTACTGTGCCCGCTACGACTTGATGGTCAAGGCCACGCGCCTGCTGCAGACCATCCGTGGCCCCGTCGATATGCTCTTTACCAATTTCGAGAACGTACATACCCTGCCCTGCACCTTGTATATGAGACACTTACGAAGATAGATGGCCAGCATGGGTGCCCTCCGCACCCTGCTCGAAGCCGGCGTCTTCCATGCCATGCCCACGGGTGGACAAAGCATCTCCGCCAAGGAGATATCCGCGAAGACTGGAATGGACAAGGAGATGATTGGTATTTCTCTTCCGTGACCCCCAAAAAGAGAAAAAGAAGCAAGCTGACGAGAAAGTCCGACTGATGCGCGCCCTAACCCCCCTCGGCCCCTTCCGCGAAACCGGCGAGGAGGAATACGCCCACACCCCGTTCTCCGAAATCTACATGGTGCCACAAATGAACGCCATCTTCAAGGTGTTGTACGTCTGCACCCTCTTATTTCACTTGGGATAGATACTGAGATTCACAGGGTCGACGAGTACTGCCCGCCCATGCTCCGTAACCACGAATTCCTGGCCAAGCACAACTGGAAGAACACCATGACGCTGACCGACAACCCCTACACCCACGTACACAATTGCACCGGGCAGACCATGTTCGACTACATCTCGCAGTTCCCCGAGCGGCTGAGCCGACTCAACGACGCCATGATGGCGCAGGATTCGGCGCTCGTCGTGCACGGTCTGTACCCGTTCACGCAGGAGCTGGGGGCTCTGGCGCGCGACGACGGGGTGACGATCGTGGATGTCGGTGGTGGACGTGGGCATATCCTGCGACAGATTCGGGAGACGGAGCCGGGCCTCAAGGGCCGGTTTATTCTGCAGGATCGGCCGATTGTGATTGAGGAGAATGGGCGCGAGCTGGAATCGCATGGCATTGAGCCTATGGCGCATGACTTTTTCCAGGCGCAGCCTGTTAAGGGTACGGCCCCTGTTCCCTCTTTTCTTAACTGCCTGTGACTGATGGAACAGGTGCCTTGGTCTACTACGTCCGCCGAGTGTTCCACGACTGGCCTGATGACGAGGTCCGACAGATCCTGGTGAATCTGGCGGCGGCGATGGAGCAGCACTCGCGCATCCTGATCGTCGAGTTCATCATGCCCGAGGTGGGAGCGACCATGTCCAATGCTTACATGGACCATACGATGATGACCTTTGCGGGTGTCGAGCGGACAGAGAAGAACTTTGCGAACCTGTTGGACCAGGCTGGGTTGAACCTGGTCAAGACGTGGAGGGCACCTGGAGTCCCTGTGGGGGTTGTCGAGGCTAGATTGAAGTGACTGTCACTTGTATCTCGTTGATAAAGTCTATAGCCTTTCCAGAATACTACGATTCAATGACTGCATGCAGCATGTACAGAGTACCGACTACGAGGTACATAAATTGTTACACATGGCCCGGGGAATGTTACATGCAAGGGGGATCCTGCCCCGGTCAGCTATGCACATGGCTCGAGTCGTATCATCGCATGCAATTTCCGAGTGAAGCAAAGCTAAAGTAAGCGAGATGACATGACTTTGATCACTAGATATTTTGTCTGGTGTATGTAAGAGCGGTGCATATTAAGTGGCGCATGATCACGGCAGATGGTCAGGCACGAAACACACATGCCAGTATTAGTCTCGGGATGATAAAGGTGTAAACTTCCATTGATCCGATGAAGAATATCTAATTCATTGCTAGTTGGTTGCTAGTCTGCTGCTAGTGATTTGTGACTGCTACAGTAGCAGCACTACTGGATAGATAATGAGGGGAACAATATAACTTTATTCGATCGAGGTTATACTCTAGTTTATTCATCTTTTCATGCTTATCTTTCTGCAGGTACATTTAATTCATCACCCCTGATAATATCACACTCCACACTCCTACTGTTGCAACTGATGCAACTGATGCTAGCAAGAGGTTGCTTACTCTGACTTTACTGTCTATCATATCATGCGACATCAATATCCTCAAATGAAGCATTACACTAGCTTCCTGCCAGGAATGGGGCTGGCATTCCTGATGATGGCTGACACCTCGAGGCCACCAATATGCCACAGTCACATTCCTCACTCTCATGGTTTCATACAGTAGGATGCATGCAGTTTTGGGGGTAATTGTCCAGATATAAGAATCAGAGCCAAGATCATTTTGGATCTGCCTTGACATCATCCGATCTTCTCCCTGTTTTTCCTCGATCAGGTATTCTGTAAACATCATCATGGCTCTGTACAAACTGGGTCTCTGGGCAAGCCTTTTGGCTACATTCCACACTGCTTCTGCCAAGTTGGACCTCAACAGCCAGACCAACATTGCCATCTACTGGGGTATGCTCTGTCCTTATCATGTGTCATCCTTGTCTGACGAAATAGGCCAAAACTCCCATGGAGCATCCACCGGTCTCGTCGCACAGCAAAGATTGTCCTACTATTGCCAGAGTAAGCCACCACACATGTACATATGGCATATCACTCACTAACCGTATAGACGCCGACATTGATGTTTGACTCCTGTATCAACCTCAACCCTTACACCACATTAACAGTCACAGGTCTTCCAACTCGCCTTTGTCACCAGAATCAATGGCGACGGCGGCCTCCCCGAAGTCAACTTCGCCAACGCAGGCGACAACTGCACCACCTTTGAAGGCACAAACCTCCTCAGCTGTCCTCAGATAGAGTATTCCCATCGACCCCTCCAATAAATGCAGCACTAACGCCCAACAGAGAAGATATCCCCGTCTGCCAATCCCTCGGCAAAACCATCCTCCTCTCTATTGGCGGTGCAACCTACACCGAAGGCGGCTTCACCAGCGAGTCCGCCGCCATCGCAGGAGCCAACAGCCTCTGGCAGACCTTCGGCCCTCCCAGCAACACCTCCACTCTCCGCCCCTTCGGCAAAGCCACCATCGACGGCTTCGACTTGGACTTTGAGTCCACCGTCTCCAACATGCCGACCTTCGCCAACCAGCTTCGGTCTTTGTTCAGTTCCGACCCCTCAAAGCAATACTACCTCACCGCCGCCCCGCAATGCCCCTACCCCGACGCCGCCGCCGGCCCCATGCTCAACGGCGCCGTCTCCTTCGACGCCATCTGGGTCCAGTTCTACAATAACTACTGCGGCCTGCAGGCGTACAACCCCGGCTCCACATCCCAGAATAACTTCAACTTCGCCACCTGGGACACCTGGGCCAAGTCCGTCTCGCTCAATAAGAACGTGAAAGTCTTCCTCGGCGTGCCTGGTAGCTCGACCGCCGCGGGAAGCGGGTATGTTTCTGTGGATATGCTGGCAAAGATCATCGCGTACACCAAGGGCTTCTCGTCCTTTGGGGGCGTTATGGCCTGGGACGCCAGCCAGATTATGGCCAATAGTGGGTTTCTGGCTGGGGTGCGAGCGGCGCTAGGTTCGGGGTCGGGGTCGGGCTCGACGACTGTGAGTCCCACTACTACTTCTACGACTACCTCTACGTCCGCTCCTACTACCACTACGTCCAGCACGACGAGTGTCCCGACGACCTTGACGAGTGTGACGACGACTTCGACGACGACGAGTAGCACGACGGCTCCGACAGGTAGCTGTCCCACGGCTGGTGCCCGCTGTTCGGCGGCAGGGACCGCGTGCAACGGGGCGAGTTTCGGGCTGTGTGATAACGGTGCGTGGGTGATGCAGCCGTGTCCCGGTGGGCTGGTTTGTATCCAGGGGGGAGCGGGCGTGTACTGTGGGTATCCTGCAGATAAAGCCGCTGGGTCTTGTTAGTTGCAGATGTTTATGCTTGCCTGCTTGCACATATTTGATTGGTTGTCTATACTTAACAATGCACTCTTTCAGGGTAAGGCGATGCCATTCATGGGGTATGGTTAAGATGATAAGTTACACCACGGGCCAGGTGTCTTAGGGCACATTATACCAGACATGTAGCACTTAAGAGAAGGGGATATTAAAGACATCATTATCAAGATGTCTAACACACTAGGATACTATCTGCAGGAATCTCATTATACAGCATTGGCTGAAATGAGATGTTGACTATCCTGGCTTACTCTCCTGAGTGTACAAGGTATTTTTACCACCAGACTCGCTGACGGCAGCAATCACAAGTAGGTAACTAGCTTAATGCCATCATTTTCTATCTGTACTTGTCTCCAGGTCACACTAGAATAGAAAGGGTTAAAATTACCCTTATTTGGCATACCTCCTGCTGTTCATCAGTCAACTGATTGCAAAACTGGTGCAAATGTTTATACTCCTAACTCAGTGATGCAAGTAATAGGATGGTGAAGTAAATAGGGCATGCTATGACTTATTTCACCTCAGATAGTAGGCGGAAGACATTGCTGCAAATCGACAGATATTTCCCCTGGTGCTCCTTTACAGCCAACAGATTTGCTTTGTACTTTGACTTGTTCACAGGTCGGTATTGGGGGGCCGATGAAGTCTCGTCCCACTGATATTCATGCCCTTGATCCATGATCATCTTATGCAGGATCATTTCATGCAGAAAGTGCTCGGTGCCGTAGACCCGCCGAAGAGAAAAGGCAGGACATCCCCCGTATCCCCAAGGCATCTCGATCGCAACATTAATGGACACATTATCCGGCATCTTGTCAAGAGCGACCCAGTGATAGGGTTCCCATTCCTCCTCCTCCCATCGGACTAACTCGCCTGTATAGTGGCGTAATCCACCCCAGCGATCTAGGCCGTATTCCTGTCGATTCCGGCATTCTGCTAGAACGGCCATGATGTCGCCCATAAGGAGAGGGCCGGCCATGGATGCGATGAGATAGAAACTGCGCAATATATCAGCTTAAGAATCTGCAATCAAGACCAGAGGGATTTCTACAGTATCTGATCGTCGGAATAGTAGCTGTGGCATTCAAACAGCATTCGCTGGCAGGGAGGCTGTGTGGCCAGCATGGTCGTCCAGGACCCAGGTTTGTCGTAGATGTCTTCCTCCAAGCTGAAATCCCCTTGATCCTGATCTCCACCCTTTGCTGCATCTCTGGATATTGAGACGCCTATTCGGTTGAACGCAGGGTTCAGTTTCCATGTCTGTTCACTGGAGATTGACCGCGTTTGAGCATCCCCAGTATTGGATTGATACCAGCAGGCCTCCTGTAGGGCCGGGGATGTTCGGATAACATCTCTCCAGTTACGGCAAACGCGCTGGGCACAAACGATCTCCACAGGATTATTCAGCTGCAGGATTATATGCTCAGCAAGCTCATAGATGCTGAAAGTTTGCTCGGCAGACGATGGCATTTCCAGGACTTTTGCATGAATGGTAGTTATGTAGGAGGCTCCAGTCTCTTCAGGTGCAATTCCACTATTCAGTATTAGTGGAGGGGGTTCTATTCCCCTTTTGATTTAGCGTGGAGACTGTGACTACTGAGTACTGCCAATATGATGGCACAGATTGATAGGCTATGTAGTATAAAGTGGAGCTGCTATGTTATATCATTATATATGTCTTGAGCTGTGGAACCTAGAATGCTATATATCTACCAGACTAGGAATGGCAATGGCATTAGAGGCCCGTTGCTATAGGTGGTATGCTTGAAATATATATCCATTTATGGACATATGTATTTTACCCGCACATGATAGTATCAGTGTGAGAATACCCCTCCCCGAGAACAAACGGCATGAAGATCAGCAAGATCAATTTCAATCTAGGCAGCTGCCATAGCATTCTTGGCTGCTTCACCCGTGATTCTTTTCCGCCGCGAGAACAGGGCCAGAAAGAAGGCCACTCCCATCGAAGCACAGGCAAAGGCAAATGCCACTTTCAGGCCCCGCATATACGCAATACGCACTCCCGCGAGGCTCGAGCCAAAGGATTGGAGCTCTGTTGCTCCAGCCGCTACCACAGCTCCCGGGTCAACATCTGGAGCGGTGTTGGGTAGTTCGTCCAGGAGCCGATTGGCAAATGCGGCTTGGGCACCGGCTTGCATGAAAGCACCCCCGATGGTTTGAAAGCCTGTCGGACGGAGAGTTGTGTGAATAGTTGCAACTATGACGTAGAGGACATTGAGAACTTACACATGAGAATTGCCGTTGTCGCCGCCATGTCCCTCGCATCGGTGTTTGCCTGCGCCATAATCATGGGCACCTGAACCCCGAGTCCGTTGCCGAAGCCGGCGAGAATCTGATAGCCAATCCATTTCCCGGCGCCGGTCCCAATGTCGAGCGTATAGATGAGACCGCATCCCACCGTGGCGATGGCAGCTCCCCCGACCACAAACGGGGCGGGATACCCGGTCACCGAGATGAGGACGCCACTCAGCACGGTGAAAATGGATACGGCAAGAATGAAGGGCAGGTTATGAACGCCCGACCCGATCGCGGACACGCCGTCAATGCTCTGGAAGTAGGTGGGCAGATAGTAGATGATCACAATGTAGGAGCCGAAGAAGAAGAAGCCCACCGCCGACGGCACGGCGTGACGCTTGACCAGGCGCGGAGGGGACATGGCCTTTTCCCCCATGTATAACTCCCATCCGACCAGAGCCGCGAGGATCAGCACGAAGCCGACAACCAAGCCGATCACGACGGAGCTGTTCCACGGATGCGTCTGCCCCCCGTACTGCATCGCGAGAATATAACAAGTGACACAGGCCAACACCAATCCCGTCCCGATTGGGTCCATCTGCAACAATTTGGACCGCCACGTGCGATGATCAGTCGTTTTGGAGGCCGCAGGGCTCTGGAAGAAGAAGACAATGAAGAAGGCCGACACCGCCCCAACGGGGAGATTGATATAGAAACACCATCGCCATGTGATCGAGTCGGTAAAAACGCCTCCGAGCAGGGGCCCGACGACGGATGCAATGCCGTACGAGAGACCGATGAGCCCGGTGAAGATGGGTCTTTTCGTCGGCGGCGCACAGAAGGCAACCAGGGTGAAGGAGCCGGTGTTCAGGCCGGCAGCACCTAGCCCGGCAATGGCGCGGCCAACGATGAGAGCCACCGATGAAGGGGCGACCCCACAGATTAGACTCCCAATCTCGAAGAGAAAGAGGGCCAGCAGGAAGGTGATCTTCAGGCTAAAGAAGCCATACGCCTTACCCCCTATGCATTTTCCGGGTCAGCAGCGACTGGCGACTGGCGACTGGCGACAGGAGAGGAGGACGGGGGAGGGGATTCGAACGTACACGCTGTCTGAAAGCTAGCAGTCACCAGGAAGAAAGCCGAGCCATACCAAGCCACATCGGAAAGACTATGGAAGTCGTCGTTAATACGGGGAATCGCGGTGGCAATGATTGTCTGATAAGAAGAACAGCTGTCTGTTAGGAGGATGATCTCAAGGTTATAGAAGAACTCTGGTGGCTCACAAAATCCAACGAGGTCAGGAAGATGGCCAAGATTAAAGAAACTACTACAAAGAGTAGTCGAAACCCGGTTGGATAGTCACCTTCATCAGCATCATCGGATCCGTTCGTATTATCATTCTTCTCATGAAGCGAGCCGTGTCCCGAAACAAGCTCGACGGGTTCTGCTGCCATGCTTCTTTTCCAGATTGGATGCTGATGAAGGAAGCACTCAGTTTCTGAGCTCGGCTAGAACATCTTCTTTAATCACAGACTGTATACATAACATCTCTTTCAGAGGAAGCTTGGAGTTAGGGGATAAGGGAAAAGGGAAGACGTTTACATTCCAGATACAGTATACTACAGGGGTACCCCACCGCGTTAAGGCCGTGCAATGTCCGGACGGTGCTTTTGATCTCATATCTTTCATGATATTATTCAAGGATAGATATAAAATGGCCTGGAGTTAGGAGATAACCAAGTGTTCTGCAAGGGACAGGGGTCGATCCCATATTCCCATTCTCCTCCAACATCCCATACTCTCCTTCTTTTGGCTCAACCCTTATTGATATCAATGAGTGTCAGGAGCATCAATTTAAACAAAGAAGAAGACAGTCGAAATCTGGACTTGATCATACAAAATGGACTAGCTGGAGGCGTCGCAGGCTGCCAGAGACATCCAAAAGACGTATGACATATCGGTGCTTTTCAAAGGCCACTCGGCCAGCTTGGTCCGCATCTTCCCTTATGCTAGCATCTATTTCTCGTGTATGAACAGATCCGAGCCGCTATGATTGTATCCCCTGAGATGGAAACACCACTGCATTGATTTCTGTGCAGAAGCATTACTAGTGCGACCTTAACCTTTGTCATATATCTACAAGACTTGATCCGCACCCATCTGGCCTTTAAGACAGGTAGTAGTTACTACTCATCCTGGCTTAGGATTTGTTAGAAAATATACTATAAAGAAGGTCGAGGCTGTAGCTAGGGTGTGGTAAATTTCTATCATCCTTCCATGTGCTAAGCATGTCATTCTTAACACATAAAATAGTCAAAGACTGGTTTTGCTCCCTAGCTCTCATACCCTATACTCTTAAACCACAGTCTCCTACTTGACTGACAGCTGTTGTGTAACTTGGCTATAGAGCACTTGCTAGTGTAGTTATATAAATAGTTTCTTATCCTATTAAAATCATTCAGTAATGAATGCAAGTTAGCAACATAGTGACAACCAGGCAGGCATTGTGGAGATGCCCAGCACAATTTTCAGGAGAGAGGAGTATATGGGTTCTACGTCAGATTGACAATTGGCTACTTGAAAATCGTTCCCATGGTGTTGTCCAAAACGGGGATCGCTAAAGGGCAATATATCTGGCAGCGAGATCCCCGCACCGCATTGAGTCGCGTTCATCATCATCAGGAAGGGGAGTCCCCTTCTTCTGGCAGTGGCGAGGCTAAAGATGGTGGGCTCAAGGCCTTTCTTTCCGCCGTCCAGGACAATCCGGAGGTTCTGCACGACGCATCGAGCGCTCAAGTTACGGCCAAGGAAATCGCCCGCCAGGTGTCCATTTACACGATGCGAGGCAGCGAGCACGAGGTAGATCTGACATTATCACTACAAGATTTTGGCGTCGACTCCTTGGTCTCAATCGAACTTCGCAACTGGTGGAAGCAGGCGTTTGGAGCTGATGAATAGCGGCAGCTTTCTGGGTCTCGGTCAGAAGGCAGTGGATCAGCTCAAGCAGAAGTATTTGAAGCCATAATGCTGATAAGGCAGCGCCAATGCAGTGGGACAGACTATGGCCATTGGAACATCAGCATCAGCCTCAGACTCCCATCTGTCACCTGAAGCGCGCGCAGGACAGAATAAGGGTAGTATACTTGCTTCTGCCAATGACAAAAAGAATCAATCTCAAGACCGTACTTTGTACTAGCCTCTCAGCAGCATTGATCTTCGGGCTAGCGTAGGCCAACAGACTCAGAACGTCCAGATTGATAGCAGGGACGTCCTCTTTCTCCCTGCCTTTGTCTCTATCATTGGCGATTCCCCCTTGAGAGTTGGCCTCTGGAGGAGACTGATTAAAGCAGACTCTGCCATTGGACATCATGAACGTTTAGGATGCATATTTACATAGGTCAGAAACAGGGGGATGAGAACAATAAGCTGTATGCTGTACTTGCCATTCATGACCTGGCCTATTATTACCAGCACGGAGCACAGTCACATAACAGCTAATACATATCAGACCTAGCCATACGCCAGAAAGCACCTCACATCAATGCTGTACCGCATAAGAGTAAGCATCCTGCATATCCAACCACTGAAAGCTGGTATAAGGGATGATTCATGCATTGGCATGTTTCAGTGCAATGAATGTAAATCTTGGAAGGCAAGCACCTCATCCGCCTTTTGCTCCGGATAATAGTACCACTATGCCTACTAGATGATGATTTGTTTTCAAATACTACCTTATGGTATCAATATATGATGTTCCCGATTATGTAGTCCCGCGCGCTCTGAATTGATGGACTAATACTAGCTGCTCATCGCTACCTGATCAGATCCATATCACGATCTTTTCAAGTAATATGTTATATCAGATCATTTTCCTGTTGATGAGTTCTCTCTCTAAGGATAATAGCTGTTGAAATGCATAGAAAAACATATTTTCTCCCATCCTGTTTTCCTCTTGATCTAATAGAAGTTAGTGTAGGTTTGTTTGTATGGACTTAGGTATCTTTTCTTAGCTGATGTACAGTTCCACAGGTGGCGAGAAAGGAATAATAAGGAATTAAGGATAAATAGTGCTCTCTCAGTTTCTGCCCTAGTCATGTCTAATAACACTGCCAACTCCTCTGTTGTTAAGTTCTGGCTGCTAGTCCTGGGAGGAGTGCTGGCTTTCTTTATGTAGCTGGTGTTATTTTCCTGCTGTGCCAGCATCTGGGGAACCAGTGCCATTAAAATGACAGAGAGAAACCTGTCCTGGAGGCGCGCTCTGCTATTCACTGCTACTAATAGACTAGTTGGGCTAGCACTGACAGCACTAGACCCTACTAAGGGATTTATACTAAACCTAGTAGTGCCCATTACCTAGAAGGTATAATAATACTCCCCTATTATAATCCTTTTACTGTACTTTAACTTACTTAAGCTCTTATGATTTAGGTAACTTTCCTACTCCTATGGTGGCAACAAGTTTCTATGTCTATAGAGGTATGATGCTAGCAGTATTTGGGCCTCCTGGTTGAGTGAGACCAAGGTCATGTACCTAGGTAGATTATAACTCTAGGACCGCCCTTGCTGGCTTCAATTCACCAACGCACTCACCAAATCCGACGCCCGACGATGCGTCCCCAGCTACGGCCGACATCCTCACCACATCCCCATCCTGCAAGAAAATTCTCGATGACCCATCCGATAACGCCACAGGCACCTTCCCGCCCTGCGTGGTTTCAAGCAAACATCCATAACTCCCTTCTGTGGGTCCACTCACCGTGCCCGTGCCCAGGATGTCTCCTGTCTGTAAGTCACACCCCGTGCTGGCGAGATGAGCACACATCTGCCGATAACTCCAAAACAGATCCTGGGCACGCGACTTGCTCAGCAGCGTCGTGGACGCGCCATGCTCAAGCTCGACCTTCAGACTGATGGCATAGTTACAGTCCACAATGTCCTGGAGGTGCCTCGGCAGCGAGACGCGGGGTTCAGGACCGGGGGCCTTGAATGGCTCCAGCGCGTCCAGAGTTACGATCCAGGAGGAGATGGTGGTTCCAAAGGCTTTGCCGTTGAGCGGGCCGAGAGGTACCATTTCAAGGCCTTGTATGTCGCGGGCTGTTGGAATTTTGAGGCAGACTATTAGTTATCTCTCTGCTCTTGATATCTCAGAAGCGGAGGAGGCTCACCGCTCCAATCGTTCAGAAGCACCAGCCCGAATATATGCTCGTCTGCATCTTTGGCGTTTAGACCGCGGTGCGGTGGCACGGGCTTGCCGACTACAACACCGATCTCGAGCTCGTAGTCCATTGCCTGTGAGGGCCCGTAGACCACGGTCTTCTTCTCGATCCCTGCGGATCGGTCATAGAAGTGGCCTAGGGGCCGGGTAATGGGTGTCCCTGAAGGGACGATTGTGCTTGCGCGGCCGCCGTAGCCGATGGGGAAGTGGAAGAAACCCGGTGGCGGGGTGTCGTCGTTCAGGATTGCCCTGCCTGCGTTTTTGACGTGGTTGAGGCTGCAAGAGAAGTCTGAGAGATGTTAGTCTCGCCGTGCATGAGATCGGCATAGGGGATGGATAGCAGGTACTTACCGGTAAACGCTGGAATTGAGACGGGAAGATGCATCCGGACGGCAGTGGTAGGTTCCGTACTTCCTGTAGGCAGTTTCTCAACTCCGGAATCTTGCAAGGCAGATTGCAGCGCTTGTCGGACTTGCTTGTGAACTTGCTTGTTGAGGGCTGCAAAGGCGTTTAGAGTGGGATTGTCGAATACTCCTCCTGGTAGACTGGTGACCTGGCGGAACAGACCGGCTCGCTGCAGGTCTCCGAGGAAGATGACGGTGTTGCTGAGGCGAGTAACACATTGCGGTCGAGGATGCTGCGATGAGGATGCAACTCCAAAGGGGAGATTGTTGATGGAGAAGTGATGGCTATATGCCGGCGATGTCATGGCGAGGACTTGTTTGTCTGTTTGATCTTGTATGCGAGGAGAGATATTCTTAAGGCTAATGGGAGAGGGAACCACTGAGGTTATGCAGCCATCTATTCACACTTCCTCAGTGCGATCAACCCTCCAGAATTGCCTGAACATGGCCCAGTTTGGCCATCTTCCCTCCACCCCTTTCTCCCTCCTCTCTCGGACCATCAACAACCGTGACTCGGAAGATGTGTTGTCCACATCCCGATCGCCCACTTTTCGTCTACCCTATTATTTCAACTCAGCCAAAGACGCAATAGATTTCAAATCTTCACCTGACAATGATAGCGGGTATCAATTAATCTGACTCTCGACAAGATGGCAAGACTCCCTGCTGAGCCTCTGCATTCCTGTTTGCGCAGGAAGCTTGACTCGCTGGGCGACGACAAAAGGCTGGAAAGAGACCCATAACTTCCTAGTAATGGCTAATTAGGATGTAACTAGTCAGGGAACGAATTAAAATTGGGGATAATTTTACCTTAATAGACTGGTCGTGGGTTGGAATTGTACATTTCTCACTCTTCCTCCTCGAGGGACCCCTGCCGTAATTCTCAACATGGTCGTTGTGATGGAGCTGCGATCGCATGATCCAGCAGCGTTGACAACATGCTGAGCTTTCTCAAACCCAAGGTAGGCTGGACATTCATTGATTCGAATTCCGCCGGCAGCTCAGTGTCGAGTGCGTGACAAGAACGGACGGATAGACGCGAACATACACAATTATACTAGTCATCACCTATATTGAGCTGATTTCTGTGGTGGTTCTGCATTCATTCGGTGTACTGGTATTCCTGTTGCAGGCCTCTTATATCCTTGCATTTAGTAAGATTAAAACTATTCGCTGCTAAAATTGGCATTCTGATATTCCAACTGTACTAATTTCAGATTATCAGCCATCATAACCTCCATTGGAACCCCCGACATTCAATGACTTACACAGCCACCAGCTTGTCAGGCTCCATCTCGAACCAAACGATAGGGACAACCTGGGCTTCAGCCATGTCACATCTTTCCCGTATGGTCAACAAGAGGCTCCTTAAATCCAGACTGATAATAATCAAGGCAGCCAAGTTCAGCGCCGCAAAGTGCAAGTTTGCACTATCCAGGCAGAATGGACAAGATCCAATATCATGTGTAGACATGTATTCTTTGGTAGCAGCTCTAAGAGGATTATTACAGGATTGCTACTACCTTATAACAATAGAGCACAACAAACATACTATAAAATTGGATATACTATAAAATTGGATAGATAGTACTTGTAAACAAAAGCAGAGACGGATAACACTGCAACAATTCAAGTACATCAAGTACAGAAACTATCAAAGGAAAAATGGCAAGTACAGCATTGGCGAAAATTCAGAACAAAGATTTGGGCGCATATCAGACAAGTCGACAGCACTGTATTGGCAACCGAGCAGATCCCGCTGCCTGTATCGCCATCCGCCACCAGTGGGCTTGCCGAGATTGAGCTGGGCTGGCCACGCTTTGCTACACTGCCGGTGGCTGACTGCAGGCATTTGTCAAACTGCTCATGGGAAGGGCGCGTCTTAGGCCAGCCGGAAACTGCGCCAGCTCGATTAGCGCTATGGAAACAGCCTCGGGAAAGGCTCATGACGGAATTGGCTAACCAGGGCTCTGCAGGCATCCCCCTAGAGAAGTCAAGGCAAGAGAACCCTGTGAGTTACGTCCTTCAAGGAGGGCGCGTGCTACATTGTCACTTCCTCCTGTAGAGGTGAAGTCATGGCTGATAACAGAAGCAAGAATCCAATCCGAACCCTGTGAGTCCTCTGGGATATCCCTAGCCAAGGCGACGGTGGTTGCAGGCGCAGACAATACGGGGTGTAAGATCAACAGAGCAATAACGGAGCGAACGGTGTGGGTTGGGACTATGACTGGTTAGACAAGCAGCTGACAAGGCATAGTAAATCCTCATCGTGGCTTTGGATGGATAGCACAGGATAGAAGGGCTTGCAGAAGAGAGTTGGTGTGAGGGGAAAGTCCTGTAAGAGCCAGTATGAAGACGACGTTCCAGCTTGGTATCCCTTCAGACACCGGGGGATTGCTTTGCTTTTATACTCGATATCCCTCATATCTTACCAGATGAGAGCCATACAGACTATGTGGCGGCACCATTATTGAAACATTTGGACATGTGAATGTCATGAAGACAGTAGCTCAGACAGTGTTGGTCAAACCAACATTGTCTTCCCTAGTTGGTGAGAAGAGGCATTTCTTGAAACGTCCTATTGCCCCTAGGCATCTTCCCTGCTGACCATAGAGTATTATTTCTGTCTCGTGAAAACAAGCAAAGCCTGGAACTAGATGGTGTCAATTGACCGTCCAGTCTAGCCTGGACAACTTGTGGTTTCCGTGTCGTTTCCCCGTGTTGTTCTCAGATTTGTTGCTGTTTATATGCCGTCTCTCATTCTTTCGTGGCCCCTTCCACCTAATCTTCCTACCATCATTCCGATCCTACACCATTACTTGCCAGCTCGTGCGGATCCCGTCGCTCTTTTCCAACTGCTGTATGTATTTAAGTTCTTTGCAAATATCAAATTGTTGGGTCTAATCCAATGGATGGCCAGGTCAATGTGTAAGCCGTAAAAGTGCAGTAGGGAGGCCTGAGTCTCACATTGGTTGTAGAACGTAATAAAGAGTTGTGCCAGCTTCTCTGATATCTGTCCCACTTGCTTAGTATTGAGCCAGGCATGTCAGTAACACTCCTCTACTCCATTCTATTGAGTATAAACGCACCTTTACAAGGCTTTCTCTATGGTATGGCGTCAGTAGAGGAGTGACCTACATGAGACCTAGGATGCTCTTCATCATAACTCATAAGACGATGGCATTCGTAGCTAGCTAACTACATGCAATCTCATTGCGCCAATCGTCACCAACACATCACCATCACCTTCCATAACCAACCCCAGTATGCAAAGCCTCAGCAAAGGACGCAGTCAATCCACCAAACAACCAAAGTATCCAGCTCGATGACCGCATCGCTGACTAGCATTGCATCATTTACTCCTGACGAGGAGGCTGGCAGTCCTGAATCTGTGAGAGCTATTAGCATCAACTCTAACTCAAGTAGCAAAGGGAGTCATACATGGTAAGGGAGGCAGTAGCACCATCCGTTTCTGCAGCCGAAGTAGCGGGGGCAGTCGCCGTTGGCATCGCAGCGAGGATGGGGGATGAGAGAGCCGTCGTTGTCGAGGTCGGTGTCTAGAGTGAGTCAGCAGGGTTAGATGTTGTGGTGAGTGGGTGGAGGGACGTACTGTCGCCACGAGTAGTGAGGTTTCCATCGACAGTGACGGGAGTAGCGAGGCCGAGGCCAATGAGGGAGAAGAGGAGGATAGCGTTGAGCTTCATTTTGAGAGGAGTTGTTGTTGATGGAGTGGTTGTAGTGTGTTTTGTTTGTGAGTGAGGTTGAACCTAGGTGGAAGTTGGAGATAGAAGGATGGAGAGAGATGAAGGAGAAAGAAGAGATCGATGGGGAGAAGGGAGTTTATATAGACAGTGCAGGACAGTGACAGTGAATATACAAATATGAGTAGAAGTGGTTGGAAGCGGTATCTTCCGTCTACAGACGTGGAAGAGTGAATGATATCTTAGGACTAACGGGACCTGCCATTTACTTGCAGAGCCCTTCCACTGGATGGCATTCACCTTTACACTACGATATCCTTGTTGACTCCCTGTCGCAGTAAAGGTTACCCACTGGGGGATCCATTTTTCCTTTTATGATTCTCTGTATCTGCCTGTTTAACTTCTCGATTCACTCATGACTCCATCCACCTAACATCCCAAGCTCCCTCCTCAACTGTCTCCGCCTAGTTTATCAGAACCTAATGCATTTGCACAAGCAGTATGTCTGTAAATCCGGGGAACCCAGATTCATACAGCCCAGTGTACCCACCCTCCAGCACAGGACTGTTACTACCAGAACGTATCCCCATTAAGGTACTGACCATCCGACTTCCTAGCCCACCGTCTCCCCAATCCCGAAGGGGGGCCCAGTTTGCATCCATTCTCAAGGCAGAGTTGTACGCAGGTGTGATTCTATTAATGCAGAAACCTGGGTACATTATCGACAATGTTGTTTCCAAACCAACTTGATCAGGTCTTGATATGCGCGGTTCTTCGTCCGTCCTTCGGAAGATGGGGAGGTCTGCTCGGTCAGGGTAGTATAATGAAGGTAGACCGTCCCGACAGGAACTAAGTCGGATCGATAGAGGAATCCAGAGGAAGTTGGAGACGGATTTCAGGCGCAATACAGCGAAATCGAGCCGCCATGCAAGATTTCATACAGAAGCCAGCAGGCAATGGAGACGCTGGGGGAAGCCCTGGCTCAGAACGGGTAGGTTTGACCACGACACCACAAGTCCTGAGACAAAGACAATGTGCGCGGGTGTTGTACAACTCTCAATTGCATTGAGGTGTCGTTATTCTCAGGATCGACAGGGGAATACGCACGATGATCCGTGGTTTATATGATCGGTGCCATGACCGACTTCTCTATCGTCTCTGGGTCTGGGATGCAATGGCATGCTCTCATTGAGCATCTCTAGATATGCGTCAAGATAAACTCGAGAGATTTCTAGTCCAGTATTTACTGCACGTAGCCGTGATGTATTGCAAACAGAAGCAGGCAGTTATGTCTGCTGGTTGAACATGACTCCCTCCTCACCACCAGCCGCATGGTAAAGCAATGTAAGCTGATCTTCTTACCAATCTGTGAAATTCTTCCGCAACATGGACTCAGGCTCCATCAGAGAATAGAAGAAACTGAACGTTACATTGTCTCAACTCGGTTCTCCTGCGACAAGTAGTCACTCGTTACACGAAGGCAATGACGATTGGGAAGTTCGCTTGAGATTTCGTCCGAGTGCTGAAATGCTCCCACCATGCTATTTCGAGGACCGTATCATGCTTCTTTGCCACTTCCTATCCACGCCCGTCGGACCGTGTCGTTGTGGAGGGCTGCTCAGCGCGCATAGTCCCTGCCATCCCCTTACAGCGCGGAGGTAACAGTCTCCTGGCAGAGGATGGCCCACAACAACACACTGACCAGGAGATCACGGTGACGGCAGCCTTTTTTGTTACTCAATACGAGATGATCGTCAAAGCTGTGTCTACATGACCGTGTATCCCTCATACTGACCCCTTTTGGTATCCTCAACGAGAGAGACCGCATCGATGAGTACGAGCCATTTTCGGACCCCAACCTGTGCCGAACCTGGGACAACAACTGCACGAGTCAGCAGAATTCCTTGGATTCATCGATGAAGACAAATGATTCGATCGACACATATCCGTGCCTTAGGCGCACCCACTCTGGCACGGCAGGAGTGGGTGCACTACAGCGTAATCATAGATTTTGAGGCCATATCAGGGGTTACCTATATACAAAAAAATGCTATTCTCATCTGCTGCCTCTGCTGATCCATTTGATACCATATTCTCTTGTGTAGGTGTTAGTGATGTGGGTTTCCATGCACTTTCTCTCACTGCTTTTGTAAATATCTCTCTTGCACAGTAGCATCTTTAGCCTTTCTTACTATATTAATTAATTTACATCTCATACTTTAGTATAGCCGACCCTACCACCTCACATAAGGAGCCATCTCAACATAAGAATAAAAGATATGCATATTTACAACCACAATAGAGGCTATAAAACTAGTTAGAAATCTTCATAAAAAAGTATACGTTCTATTGTATGTACCTATATTAAAATTATTACTTATTCTAATAGCATATCTATACTATTTGCATACATAAAGTCTATATTCATTATATATATTTCTAGTATATTAGTCTATAATATACTGAATATCATCTCTCTAATATATAAAGTATACTAAGGATTACTTATATAATAAAATATAAAAGTCACAGGCTTCATACTTTTATCGAAGTGGAGATAATACTAGAAACTATTTCTACATATTTATTTCAGTACTAGACACTATTAACTTTGAGAAGCTACAGAATTTTTCCTCCTTATACTATATCATCAAGATTCTAGTACTAAAGGTATATACTAAGTTTTATAAGTGTTTAGGCTTATAGTGTTGAGATATCCATGTTTAATATGGGCTTTTGTATGGGGAATTAGGCTTACATTGAGATGGCTCCTTAATCCTTATGTTGAGGTGGTAGGGTCGCCCTGAAGCGTAGATGGAAGGGTCGGTTACCATCCTAACTGAGTGGCTTAACTTATCGCTTAGTGTGTTAGCACTGTAGGGGGGCTTACGCAGCCTTGATATGCTTTGATTCCTTTGTCTTTTGCTTTACAGGGCCTAGATTGAGGTGTTCTGGGAGTCGTTTCTCAAAGTGATATGCCCATACTCTGCTAACCTGTCTAGCTTCGCCAGCGTGTTGAAGTGCGGCAAGTGCCTGATTTACAAACTCTTCTAGTAACTTGGGCGTCACTGGTATGATCTGGCATCCAGACTATCCACTCTATCAAGGCTTTCTTCTGATATCCTTGAAGGGCTTTATTGACTGGTTTACGAGCTGCATGAGGCTGAAGACCATATTTCACATAGGGTTGTGGAAGGAGCACCACTCAGCGGTGTGGGTGCGCCTAAACCACGAATAGGTACGGAGTAGATAGGCATCATTAAAATAGGGTTTACGCCTCACGGATGATCGCCACCTCATCGATCCACACCTCGTATTTCCCCTTGAATCATCATCTTGGATTTGGAGATACTGTGGAGAACCCTACAATGATATGGCAAACCCCGAACCCGCGAATGGGGCCATCTATGAATTACTCCGTCTCGCACCTCGTATCCCTCCTTCATTTGCCGATCAGTCGTCGGCCAGGGAGAAAATCAGGCAATGTTGCCCCAACTCGTGTTTCTATTGTTTCTATACTTGGAGTCAAAGTTAAATCCAACCGCAGTCTGCAAGGAGGTGGATGGCTTCGGTAGACTGATTGGGGCAAATACGAGGAGGTGCTCTACCCAACGTCATGCCGATGAAGATCTTAGTCAACGTAACATGCGTTCAACAACGACTCTAGGGGACTCAGATACTGAATCAACGCACTTCGTGAGGGTGAATACGAGTTTCTACACATACCGGAAGAAGTAATGATTGCTGGCAGAGAGGTATAAAGGCAGCACCTCGACCAGGGCATTCTCGCCTGCTCATCACAAGCAACAACCCGATCTATCAAGTCTACTCTATCAAGTCTACATTCTCCAAAGCAATAAGGTGCGAGCGGCTTCAACCCCATATCTGCTACCAAACTGACACCATAAAGACCACAATGCGTTTCACCACCATCGTCACTCCCCTCCTGGCGAGCGCCACCCTCGCCTCAGCCCTCTGCCACAACTCCATCTCCTGCATGATGGGCGGCGACTCCACCTGCAACAACGTCTGCGTGCGCCAGGGTAACCCCAGCGGCGGCCGCTGCCTCCCCCGTGACGGCTGCCCCGGCTACGACATCTGCGCCTGCTACCCGAACAGCAAGCGCAGCGACGAGGTGATTGACGGAGACGAGCCCCTGCGTGAGGCCCTGAACAACATGGGTATCGATGAGGCTGCGGCTGTGAAGAACTTGGATACTAGAGATGCCACCTTTGATAAGCGCAGCATCTGCTGCAGCTTCCCCGACCCTTGGGGAGGACTCTGCTGTGAGGATCACTGCAGCTACATTGGAAAGCCTGGTGGACAGTGCTCCGACAAGAGTGTTTGCACCTGCAACTAGGTAGTTACATTGAGTGTGTGTCGGTCGACGAGGGTGGATGCTGCTTTTCATTATGGTTTGGTCAAATCAGTTTGGAATTTTTGGCTTTCACACTCGCTAGGTTCAATTAGATGGACTTCTTAATTGCCTCATTGGGAGACACTGTAAAAGTCAGAGGACAGGGGCCGTCCTAGTAATTAGCTCTCGACTAGCAGTAATTAGTTACATAGCAGTACCCTTAGAATGTGAGGACCTGAGTAACTCCTCCATTCCACTGTAGCTAGTACTATGATTACAATCGTCGTGATTCGCAAATGTGTCGATCACTATTCAATTCAACCAGGAGGCAGATTCTGAGCTAAACGTAGCTGGTGCCCATTCGGACAATCTTCGACTCCAAGAGGATGGAGGCAGAGATCTGTTTGTTTCCCTTTTCCCATTGGACAGAGTACAGAGTGTCTGATCAAGAGTACTTGAGTACTACCTACAAGCACCTTCCATGTCTCCGCTGAATCTCCGAACCCGGCCGGGTCGTATGGCTCTCAATCAGCTTGACAGACTTGAAGCATCATCGGCATTGTTGTCGACATTGACCACCACCCCAGGTTATCATACTCATATTAGCTTACAATGTCTATCATGTCCACTGCTTCTTGGATACTGC